AGCCTGGCAATGCATTGTTATAATTATTTACTTTATCATCTATTGTCATTTCCTTAGCCCATTATAGCTTTGCTCCTACCACTCCTTTGCACTATTATTGGCAAGTATATTACACATAGATTACATTTCTGTTATAGTCCCGACAGTATATTATATGTATATTTTACATAATTGCTTTTTAAATTAGTTAAGAGGAGAAAAATATGTGTTTATACTTTTTTTTATAATTACATAATTACCTTTATTGGTGCTCTTTGTTTTTCTTTTATGTGAAATTAAGTTACTATCTATGGTTATTGCTTTTAGCCTGAAGAACTTCCTTTAGTATTTAGTAAGGTGAGTCTTCAAGCAACAAATTCTCTCAGTTTTTGAATATACTGGAAAGTCTTTAGTTCACCGTCATCTTTGAAATGTCCTTTTCAATTATAGCCAACTGAGGCGGATAGAGGATTCTCAGTTGACAAGTTTTTTTCTCTGAGCACTTCACATGTGTTCTGCTGAGAAGTCAGCTGTTAATCTTATTGGGGTTTCCTTGTAAGGGGAAAGTCATTTTCCTCCCGTTGCTTCCCAAATGTGCTCGTCTTTGACTTTCAGCATTTTTACTATGACGTGCCTGCTTGTGAATCTCTTTCTGCTCATCCTCCTTGGCGTTAACTGAGCTTCCTCAATGGACAGGTCATTGCTTATTATAATGGCTACTTTAAAACCTTCTCGTTAAATCTGACATCTGGTCACTCCCACAGGCAATTCCTCTTGCTAGCTTTTTCCCATTGTCTGGGTCTTACTCCCCTGCTTCTTTGCATACCTCATGCTCTTGGGACTGGTGCCCTCCCCTCCAGGGCATGTTATCTGCTTATTTATTTGTTTAGAGACTGGCTGTCTTGTTTTAGTGACATCTATTTCCTTTACACAGTGTGGAGGCCATCTTTGGGTAGCCTAAAGGTTTTAGGATCACTCTCGTTCTCTTTCCCTTATCACACCCAGCTGTCAAAGTCCACTAATTGTGGCATCTTGTTCCATTACCCTATATAATAAAAGGGCAATGTGCAAATTGACCAAATGGCAGAACAACCGGTCGCTATGACACACACTGACCACCAAGGGGCAGACACTCAACGCAGGAGCTGCCCCCTGGTTGTCAACGTGCTCCCACAGGGGGAGCGCCGCTCAGCCAGAATCTCTCTCCACCTTGCTGAGCTGGGAGCAGGGAGGGCGATGGAGGTCTTGGTTCAAATGCCACAAATTTTCACCTTCCTTATGGAATGTTTACGTCTTTTTTAAATATATATTTTTAATTGATTTCAAAGAGGAAGGGGGAGAGAGAGAGAGAGAGAAACATCAATGAGGAGAGAGAATCACTGATCGGCTGCCTCCTGCACGCCCCATACTAGGGAAGGAGCCTGCAACCTGGGCATGTGCCCCGACCGGGAATCGAACCGTGACCTCCTGGTTCCTAGGTCGATGCTCAACCACTTGAGCCAAACCAGCTAGGGCTGTTTATGTATATTTTTAATAGATATTTCTTCACTTGATGCATGCCCCTATCATTCCTAGAGGGTTTAAAGTATTTTTAAAAAATAATTTTCACCAGTTTTACAGAGAACCAGGTCAGTGGAACTCCTCCCGCTGAAAGTTAGTCCTGTCTACAGCTGCTTCGGGGCTACAAGGGTACAGCTGAAGAGCTGTGTGGTTGCAGCTGAGACCGTATGGCCTGTGAAGCTGAAAATATGTATCATGGGGGCCTTTACAGAAGAAGTTTGCCAAGCCCTGGCTTGGGTCGCTGCTGCCAATGCCGCAGGTCCACAGACCACACTTTGAGTAGCAAGGGCTTCCATCGCTTGAGAGACAGTAAGCGCTGTGTTGGCTGAGCGCTTGCTTCAAAACTCCATTTCACCATTTCTTGGACAGATGGTTTGGGGCGGGCCTCCCTCCCTGGGTTGTTGTGAGAACGAAATGTATGAAAGTCTGCCACTTCGGAAGTATTCAACAAACGATAACTTATCATCGTCCTGCAAACTGTATAGGAAATTTAAGTCGAAGACATCACCGCTTTCCTCAGTTTTTTTTCCCCAGAAAATTTAAGTTTTGGAAAAGGGACACAAGTGTAGACTCCCCAATAAGACGAGATGTCTTTTCATACCCGGGGTACACAAATGACCTACTGAAGTGAAGACTCTATAGAGCTGGCGCTTAAGCCTGACATTGAAAAAACGAGAATTTGCCACCGGCGATGCCTCCGGCCTCTTGCAGTAACAATGAATGAAAACTTTCAGGAAGTGCTTCCCAACCCAAGTGCCCTGTTGGAAAAGACAGCAATGGATCCTTAATCCGAGGATCCGGGCCTAGATGGCTCCCTTCCGGTTCTGGCCACCTCTATCCGAGCCCAGAAATGATATACACAGAATCCCTCAAGTTTCCACCTCGACTTGACACCCGGGCCGGGGCGCCGCGATCGGTGCCGTCCTAGGGCCCGAGGCGCGGGGATTCCGCCAGGCTCCCACCTCGCCGCGGGCCCGTCGGGGCTGCCCGCCCGCTTACCTCGCAATTAAACTCCATCTCGGCGTCCATGGTGACGATCCGCACGGTGAACGTCTTGGGCTGCTTCCTCTTGAGCGAGCTGAAGCTCATGCGGGAAGCGATGGCCCCGGCCATGGTGCGGGGCTCAGGCCCGGGACCCTCGCGTCCCCAGGCCTGCGCGCTGGGACTGTTAGCCTCCCTGGAGGAGCCGCACAGGCCTCAGGGCCACCATGGTGGCCGGCCGGCCGGCCCGGGAACTGTCTAGGCGGCGCGGGCCCCCAGCAGCCAGCATGGGCCGCGAGGACCCTGCCCCGGGAGCGGAAAAGGGGAGTTGCGGGGCGGGCCCTGGCGGCCGTCGGGAGGGAACGCGAGCTGGGACCGACGGGGTGGAACCCGCCCGGCTCTCCGGGACTCGGGCCGGGGACGCTGAGGTCACCAGGACCCGGCCCCTAGACGGCGGCGACCCCGATCGCGCGCGCCTCGCCGCGGCGGCTGGAGATCTCGGGGGCGCGCGGCGGCCGGGCGCGCACGTGCGCGCGTGGCTGTCACCGTCCTCGCTCCGCGCGCCCGCGGGAAGGGTCCCCTCCCCGCAGCCCCGCGCCTGCTCCCGCCCCGCCCTCAGGCCCCAGTTCACTCCGCACCACGCAACCTAACCCGCGGACACCGCTCGGGCGCAGCGATTGGCACAGGACTGGGAGGGAGGCAGAACTTTCCCTCTCCGGCCCTCGCCTCCCGAACGGCTCCACCAATTGGAAGTTCCGCTCTCACCGGGGGCCTGGGCCCGGCGTTGACTGGCTGCTGCGTCGGTCGCTCCGAAAGCTTTTGTTGGGAATTCTAGCAAGACTGGTTGAGGCGGCGGATCCCCACCCGCCTTTCTTGGGAAACCACGTAGTAGAGGCTGGGCCAGGGCGCGCGCGTGGGGACCCTCCCCTGTCCTTGGGGATCCAGTGGCGCCGAGTGGGACGCGCCCCGGGGGTCGTGTCTCAGACACCCGGCGGAGAATCCCGTTTCGCCTTTTAATGATTCCACATACCGAACTCTGTTCTTCACCCTTTTAACGCACTGGTGGAGGCCGCCCAGTTTGCCGGCTCTCTCCACCAGATCCTTCTGCTTGCTTCTCCTTAGGAGAACTAAGTAAGTATGAGTAGGGAGTGGGTTATAGTTGTGACTGCCTCGTGGGGTTGTGGAGGGAGGGATATAAGCGAGTTGGGATAAAGTGTTGGTTATATTAACTAACTGGCTGGCACTAACGAGGTTGAAATCCTATGCAGCAGCTGTTTTTGTTGATGCAAAACGGTCCAAATCAAAGCATTTCTCACTTGGTGCCTATGGTTTCTGTTTTCGAACCATATATGTGTATTATTTGTTTTTTAAATGTTATCAAAGGTTATGACGGGGTGTGTATGTGTTGGGGAGGGGAGAGCATAACTCTGTGGGGTTTGCTGTTGTTGTTAATCCTCACCCGAAGATATTTTTCCATTGATTTTTAGAGAGTGAAGGGGCAGAGAGAGAGAGAAACATCGATGTGAGGGAGAGACATCAATTGGTTGCCTCCCACATGAGGCCCCAGACCAGGGCCAGGGATCGAGCCTGCAACGGAGGTCCCTGCCCTTGACCGGAATCGAACCCAGGACCCTTCAGTCTGAGGGCCGACTCTCTATCCGCTGAGCCAAACACACCAGGACGTAACTTTTCTGTTTTTAAGGAATAAATCCTATTTTTAAATAACTCTTCAGGGTTGAATAGAGACCATTTCCTGTGTTTTAACTGAGCCGTAAGCACTTCATCAACACTAACCATCGCCTCTTCTCTACCGGGGAGGAGGCAGGCTCAGCATGACAGAGCACTAGCTGGCTATCATCCAGGCAGTGACAGGCGACGCTGGGACTAGAACCCAGGTCTGTGCCCCACAGAGCCCGCTAGTGTGACCACTGCACCGCCCTGCTTCTCTGGTCATGGCTGCCAAACTGCTCCTGCTGTAGCCCCAGGAACCATCAACTACATTTCTGGAGCATTCAGCCGACACCGTTGCTAACACTAGACTAATAGCATAAATCTAGCTCTTCCCCACAGGCCCCTGCCAGGCCATGGAGCACCAGCCAGGTGCCAGGCATCACTTGCTGGCACACCCAAGAGGCTGCTGTAGGGAAACTTTATGTTCCGTCTAGTGCTGGCAGATTCTCCCCTCCAAACAGACCATTTGGGGAAAATGGGCCAGGCATGGGAGTGTCTTCATTTTCTTTAAGATTTTTTAAAATATATTTTTATTGATTTCGGAGAGGGAGAGGGAGATAGAAACATCAATGATACGAGAGAATCACTGGCCAGCTGCCTCCTGCACCACCCACAGAGGGGACTGAGCCCGCAACCCGGGAATGTGCCCCGACCAACCGGGAATCCAACCGTGACCTCCTGATTCATAGTTTGACACTCAAACACTGAGCCACACCAGCCGGTCTTTACTCATTTTTAGAGAGAGAGAGAGAAACATTGAAGTGAGAGAGCCACATCAGTTGGTTGCCTCCTACACCCGTTGGGGCAGGGAACCTGCAACCCAGGTATGTGCCCTTGACCAGAATCACACCCGCGACCCTTCGGTTTGAGGGCCGACACTCAGCCATGCCGGCCAGGGCCCACCGGGACACTTTTGAAGAGTATCCGCCAGTATCTGTCGAAAGTCTCTCAGTTCAGGTTTGTCTTATGTTTTCTCCTGATTGGACCGATGTGTTTTCGTAAGCTGCGCCCCAGGCCCTCCCCACCCCACTGTCTGCGTCCACGGGTCATGCGCACATGCAGGCAAGGAAAGACCAAATAGGTGAACAAAAAAGTGCGCCCAGTGCTGTTACCGCTTAGTGAACACGGGTTTTAGGAGCTCCGAGCCAGGACCTGGAGGCCGAGACCCGATATATGACTTCCATGATTTCACAGGACACAGTTCAACCCACGGCTCTCCGCTCGCAGCAGGCGGCTGCAGGAGCCGTATTTCTGCCAGGACGGCTGGGAGGCCCAGGGAAATCCCATTTCTCAGGGAGGATGCCTTCGGTAAACTTCACATGATTCAAACCTTTGTAGTCCCAGAACCTCTTTCCCCCACAGGAATGACTGTAAAGTAAGTGATCAAATGCGTTCGCACAGCTCGTAAGTCCACAACCGTCTCCCACATTTTTTGCTTTTGATGCTGCTTTGTATCGTTGCAGCATAATCTCTGCCCTCCAGCCCTCTCCTCCGTTAACAGCACCACCTGTCGAGGAGGTAGGTCAGTCTATTTTTTTTTTTAATATATTTTATTGATTTTTTACAGAGAGGAAGGGAGAGGGATAGAGAGTTAGAAACATCGATGAGAGAGAAACATCGACCAGCTGCCTCCTGCACACCTCCTCCTGGGGATGTGCTAGCAACCAAGGTACATGCCCTTGACCAGAATCGAACCCGGGACCCTTTAGTCTGCAGGCCGGCACTCTATCCACTGAGCCACACCGGTTTGGCAGGTAGTTCAGTCTTCAGTGGCGTTTCGTCGGGTCCAATATCCACTCCAAAGACACTCATTTGGGGGCGGGGGAGGGGGTTTCAGCACTAGGATCACGACCTTGTGAATGCATGGATAATGTTACTGTATCTTTTTAAGGTGGCTTATCATGACCGTGAATGGCAAAATGACAGCTGCAGAGCCACAGAAAAACAGTTGCTAGAATCCAGAGTGTGCTGAACAGCTTTGTGATTCGCTCCCGAATAATGTCACAGTGTGGTCGTTTGTTTCCCGGCTACAGTGGCGCCGCCTTGTGGCAGTGGCATAAACACAGTTGAAAATTCATTCCATCCCCGGGACGCTTTGACATTGCCCCATCCCTAATGAGTTAAAAGGTTGCCCCCCCCTTTTTTTTTTTTTTCTGACGTTTCTGTGATTTCCGATGTAACCGTGGAGGGGCACTTTGTTGATGGTTTTATGTGACACCGTGTCAAAGTCGCATAATTCATACTGCATAGGATGCATACCCCAGAGAGGCCGGGACTTGGCGGTGTGGCTCATGCCCCCACTGAGACAGTAAAGCTGTCTTGCCCCTGCCCCTCCTGTTTGGGGTCCCTCCTGTTTGGGGTCCCTCCTGTTTGGGGTCCCACAGGAGCCGGGCAAGGCAATTCTGAGAGCGGTGGAGCCCGAGCATAAAAGCCCATCAGTTAGGGGCCGGTGACACTACCAGAGCTGGGTGATTTGTCTCTTTGCTATTCCGCAGCCCATTCAGTGATGATCTATTTGTCCTAGAGAATAGATAATGGCAGGTCTGCCCATATTTTACACTTAGGAACCGGCCTGCTCCTCTCCGCCCGGCGCTGCCCATCTGTCTTTGTCCTGGCTCTTCTCATTTCATTTCACAAATTGGGCAACAGGCCTTGGCAGTGACTGATGAAGGCAGATTCCGTGCGGGCAGCTTGCTCTGGGAAGGAAGAGAGGGAGAAGAGATGGGTCAGAGAGGGGAGGAATGGACAGGTGCAGGGGAAAGAGATGTCATAGACTCGGTGGTGGACAGGAAGGGACCTCAGAGCGGAAGGGGAGGGAGAGCTCCCAGCACAGAAAACAAGGGTGCTGAGGAGGCCTGCTTGTTGAAAATTGCTTGAAGAGCCGAGTCCAATCCTAATAATTAAGTTAGGCTGCTCTAGCCGGTTTGGCTCAGTGGATAGAGTGTCGGCCTGCGGACTGAAGGGTCCCGAGTTTGATTCTGGACAAGGGCCCATGCCCAGGTTGCAGGCTTGATCCCCAGTGGGGGGCATGCAGGAGGCAGCCGAGCAATGATTCAATCTCATCATTGATGTTTCTATCTCTTCCTCTCCCTCTCTGAAATCAATAAAAAAATATTTTCTTTTTAAAAAGTTGGGCCTAGTACAAAGCCTGATTGTGGTAGCCAGCCTCCGGGATGGTCCCCTGTGACTGGCAAGTATTGGTATCCACACCCTTGTAAAGCCTTTCCCCACACGGAGCAGGGCTGGCATGTATAACCATGACGGAGCGTGACTTCCAAGACCAGGTTATAAAAGTGCTTGAAGCCCTAACCGGTTTGGCTCTGGATAGAGCATCGGCCAGCGGACTGAAAGGTCCCAGGTTCGATTCCATTCAAGGCCATGTACCTTGGTTGCAGGCACATCCCCAGTAGGGGAGTGAGTGTGCAGGAGGCAGCTGGTCGATGTTTCTCTCTCATCGATGTTTCTAACACTCTATCCCTCTCCCTTCCTCTCTGTAAAAAAATCAATAAAATATATATATCTTTTAAAAAGTGCTTGAGGTTTCCACCTTATTTTCTTTTGGGTCACTCCCATTGGGGGAAGACAGCTGCTGTGTGGTGAAGACCTCCAAGCAGTGCCCGGAAAAGCCCGGGTGGCAAGGAACCCGAGGCCCCTGGCCAACTCGCTGGCCAGGCGTGCGAGCGCCCTACCTGGGAAGCCGCTCCCGCAGCGCCAGTCAAACCGGCACAGCCCGGGCACCCATCTTGACTGCGACATCGCAGGAGACCCCGAGCCGGAACCAGCCCGGCGAACCAGTCGCTCCTGGATCCCTGACCCATTTGGAACCGTGTGATTTAATAAATGTTGATTGTTTCAAGCTGCTCCAATGTGGGGTGATTTGTTTCGCAGTAATTGGAAATGGCCCGATTCCTTATTCGCGGAATTATTGTCCAACAGCTATCTGGTTTGCTGCCCAGAACGCATCGTCCATGGGGCAAGAACCCATTCAGACCAGCTGCTCAGCTAACTGGCGTGGCGAGGCAGGGTAAATGGAGTCAGTTAAGCAAAGAAAAGATTCTGGGATGGAAGGGGGTGTGTGTCCTGAGCAGAGGGGAAGGGCCACAATTAGGATGACTAAACCTCCCGATTTCCTCGGGACAGGGGGGTTTCCTGGGAGGGGGCACTTTCGGTGATGAAACAAAGACAGTTGGGTAAGCTGGAACGAGTAGCTGGGGTAGGGGTGAAGCTCTCAAAGCTGCATTCCAAGTGAGCGGCCACACGGTGGCTCACGTGTGACATGGCGAGGGACGCCCACTTCCCATGACTCTGGGGCAGGGGTGGGCGCATGCCCCGCCTGACGGGGGAAGATGGGAAAACCCTCTTTGGAAATGCCTAACCCAGCGTGAGGAGGCTGCAGACCAGCCCTCCCTCCTCCCTCCCTGCAGGGACAGCCGGAAACACCAAGCATTTGCTGAGGACTCTCCATGGAGACCAGGAGGGCCAGCGCCGCCCTGCCCAAGGGTCCCGGCTTCCTGTGGCTTCCAGATGCCCTCTGTCACGTGGCCAGCGAGTTGCTATGCAGCCCCTGCGGGCACATCCAGTGACAGGTCATCAGGGCTGCCCACACCCTGGTTAGGAAGGCATCCCCGGTACCGAGTGGGAAGCTGCCGCCACCCTTGAATTCCATGGGATCGTGCGGAACAATCGAGACCCGTTTCTTCTTGGCAGCCCTTTCGCATACTGTGCACACATGGCTTCCTCTGCTTAAGGTCCTCCCTGCTCCTGGCAAACTCTCCCTACTTTACCCTTCAAGGCTTAGATCCGAAGTCAGTCACATCCACCTCTCCACGCCTGCCACACGCAGATCCTAAGGGAAGGACAGCTCCACCACACGACACCAGTGACATCTTATGGCTGCACCTCCATGGGCCCACCTGGGCTTTCCCGGAGGTGGCTGTGACTGGGAACTCGCAATCACACTGATTCAAGGAGGCGCTCACTCTCTTTTGCTTCCTCTGATCACCCCAAGAAGCCACTGGGCCCAGCTGTGTCTAATCCTCCCTCCCCCCATGCTCTTTATTTTATTTGTAAATATATTTTTATTGATTTCAGAGAGGAAGGGAGAGGGAGAGAGAGATAGAAACATCAATGATGAGAGAGGGTCCTGGATCGGCTGCCTCCTGCACGCCCCCCACTGGGGACCGAGCCCGCAATGCAGGCATGTGCCCTTGACCGGAATTGAACCCAGGACCCTTCAGTCCACAGGCCGAGGCTCCATCCACTGAGCCAAACCGGCCAGGGCTGTTTATGGCAATTGATTCAGGTTTTCCGTTTATCATACTGATATAGTTTCCTTTTTAAATAAATCACATATAATAATACATGTGCATTGTAGCAACTTTAGAAAACACAGGAAAAAAAGTCACAGTTTGAGCCTCACTTTTTTTTTTAAAATATATTTTATTGATTTTTTACAGAGAGGAAGGGAGAGAGACAGAGAGTTAGAAACATCGACCAGCAGCCTCCTGCACATCTCCCACTGGGGATGTGCCCGCAACCCAGGGACATTCCCTTGACCGGAATTGAACCCGGGACCCCTCAGTCCGCAGGCTGACACTCTATCCACTGAGCCAAACCGGTTTCGGCTGAGCCTCACTTTCTTATAGAAGTCATCACTGACCCTCAAGGCCTGTAGGACCTCCCTTTTTTCTCTTCTTCCCCATTGTAAATCCTCATGGCCCCCTGCACTTCACAGCCTCTGTTGCAATTGGCAAAAATGTTTTTGTTTACATTCCTCACTTACCCAGTAAATATTTTGTGTCACAGGCAGGAGCAGGAGCGGTGAGGGGTGAGAGGCCGAAGGTGCCTGAGTGCCCTGGAGGGGCTCAGAGTCAGTGCTGAGCTGATTTCGCCTCCCCCCCGCCCCCCCTTAAGTCCCTAGGGGGCCCGGGCCTTACTGTTCTGCCCACCTTTGGTGTCTCAGAGTGTCACACGTTCACCAGCCAGGCAGACCCAGTACTCGCTGAAGGAATCCCAGGGTTAGAGCCTGCCTTCCACTCCCCCACTCCAAGCACACCAGCAAGGAGCCACCTGCCTGGGGTAGGCACTTGGGGGGGTAGGGGGAGCAGGGTGCATGCATGCTTCCACGTCTCTCCGGAAACCACCAAGCCCCTGGTCCCCGTGTGGGGTCTGCAGGCTCCCTGCTTCTGCTGAGGTCTGTGATCTGGGGGATCGTGGCCGAGCAGGGGTTCGTTTGCAGAGCAGACAAAGGAGCTGGACGGGGCAGGAGGAGGGCATGGGGCCCCAGGAGACGCAGGAAGAGATGGTAAAGGCGGATGGGAAGAGTGAAGGAGGTGATGGAGAGATGGCGCGGCCCTGAGCCCTGCCCGCCCGTCTGAAATGGTGAGGGGGCTTGCTTCTTGGACAATGTGGCTCCCCTCACCCCCAGGAAAACGCACCGTCTCCGGGGGCTTGCTCTGATGCCCATCCCTCCATGCCCGGCTAAGAACTCCCCATCTCCTTGTTCAACGCCCCCATTTCATTGAACTGGACACTGAGGCCGGAGTGGGGAAAGGGCTTTCTTAAGGTCACGGAGCAAGTCAGGAGCAGCGCGCAGGGGCTCAGAGGCAAAGGACCCCGACTTTCTCCCCCCCCCCCGCGTCAGTGGAATGGGGGGGCGGGGGATGCACCGCAGCAGCGGGCGGAAGGAGGCGGGGGACCGGAGGGGGCGGGGCTTATTTACGCCCCGCCCCCAGGCGGGCTCAGGGGCGGGGTCTCCCTCCAACCTGCTCTCCGCCAACATGGCTCCGCGGCTGAGCAGCATCTCTGCAGCGGCGCGGCTGCTGGGGGGCCCCGGGCCCCGCCGCGCGGAGCTTGAGGCTGCGGCTGCGGCGCGGTGAGAGCCGGGCCGGGGAGGGGAGGGGAGGCGTGCACGGGGGGGAGGGGGGTGCAGGGCGGGGGCCGGGGCCTGGGCGTGGGGAAGGGGCAGACTCCGGCTCGGAATCTATGGGTTGGAGGCGGGGGCAAAATCCAGTCCTGGGGTAGAACCCTGAGCCAGAATGCGGGAGGTGGTGTGCGCAGGGTCTTCGTTCCAGGGGGCGCCTGGCTCTGGGGGGATGGAAGATGGGGGGAATGGGAGGGGCAGGTCCTGGGCCCTGGAGCCGGGGAGGCAGGAGGAGTGGCCTCAGCCCCCGGCTTTGCGGTGACTGTGAGGCAGCATCCGTTGGGGGGCTCCTGGGAGAGGCCACCTCTCTGGAATTTCTTGGGGGTCGGGGGGAGCCGTAAGGGGAGCAATGGAGGATCCCCAAAAGCCACGGCTGCACAGACCGTTTGCTCCCCAACCCTGCACAGTACAGGTGGGGCAGAGGAGGCCTGGGGTGGGGGAGGATTGCCCAAGGTCACTCCCCCTGCTGCGCCGTGGCAGCACTGGGCCTGGACCCTGGTCTCCTGGCACCCAGTGCTCTTTGCGCCACCACTGGCGGCCTCTCGGGAGAGGGCGGCCGGCTGGACCATGCCCCCAGCCTGAGCTTTTGTGTGGGCCCTGCTCCCCGATTGGCCCTGGCCTCCCCTCCTTCCTCCCTCTCCCAGCGCCCTGTACTTTCCCCATCGCTGCACTGACACCCTGTCCACGCTTGCGCTTGCCGGTCTCCCCTCCTAGACCATCACCTCGTTTTTTCTGTTTCCCCAGCCCCTGGCCCAGGGTTCAGGACAAATGGGAGTGATAAAACAGTGCATATCTCATAGAGTTGTTAGGGTTCCAAGGGCCGTGATGTGAGGCTGCTAGCCCCTGGGGATGGGAGGTCTTGCCCCTGGCTCCAGGCGATGTCTCAGGCAGTTTCTGCATGAGCCCCTCATCCTAGGCCAGAAAGGGCCTTGGGGAGATCATCTTATTTTCCAGATGAAGAGATTGAAGACTGGGAGAAGGGACCTCAGTTTCCCAGGGTTGTAGAATCCGTTGATGGTAGAAGCCATTTGCGTGGCAACCGTCCAGAGGCCGCACAGGAGCCTGGGAGCCTCTTGTTTCTCAAAAACATATTGTGACCATTAGGTCTTAGCGCATAGTAGGAGCTCAGTAAACAGCAGTTATTACTGCTGCACCCGTGATCCTGTTAACAGAACTTCAGTTTTAGCTCCAGTGTGTCTTACTGCTTCTGGAACAGGAAGCAGAAATAGGGCCCTTTCTAGAGTCTCAGAATGTGCATAGACCCCTGCTTCCAAGCGAAGAAATAAAACATTATGGAGCCGTTTCAGGGGTAGGGGGGGGGCAGGCATCAGACTATTGATACTTATTAAGAGTGCAAATGTGTCATTACTGCAAAGTTCTCACCTGGGACATATATGGAGCTGTTCTCATGCCAGAAGCCCTGCGCTAGGTATCCCGGGGGATGGAATGACATCCCATGTGTTTGGGGAGATGGGACGTAGTCGAATGAAAATGATGGCAGGGCTGCGGGGGAAATGTGAGAGGTGTTTTTGTGAATGGGGCTGATCCTTCCCACAGGTTGGACAAAGGCTGTATTGTGTGTTTATCTAGGCCTAAGAGGCATCCTTAGTAGAGTTTTGATCACAGAATCTTTGACATGTCTGGATGGTTTACCGAGATGACATTAAAAAAATAATAATAATAAATTGGGACTGCTCTAGAGCAGTGATTCTCAGACTTGAGTGTGGGTCAGAACCCCCTGGTGGGCTTGTTAAGACCCGGATCGCTAGGCCCATTCCCAGAGAGGTTGTTGCAATGGTCTGGGGTGGGGCCTGGGAATGTCTCAGGGGATTTGAGACCCACTGGGATGGGGAATCCTGGCTCGGTGGTTATCACATTTAAATGGGAATTGGCTCTGGAAAGGTTGGCGAAGTGGATGAGAGCTGGAATCCCAAGCCTTTGTTTTGTAGGAAGTTTCGGGGGGGGGGGGGGGGGGGAGCCATGGAAGACATCACCAAAGTGGTACTTGACAATAATTGATGGGCAGGTTGGGAAAAGTGGGGTGACAGGGGGAGCCCAGAGTTCAGTTAGGAGTTTCGGTAGGAACAGTGCTACCCGGCCGCCACTGCTGTGTAAACCCTTTCTCTAAAAGGCCCGTCCTTTTGCCTCTGTTTTCCAGATGAGGAATATGAGGCTTAGAGAGATGAAGCCCAGCTGGGGTGAGAACCCCAGATTGTCCAGAACCTGTGCTCTGAAAGCATGAATTCTGCAGGTGGGGGTGGGGAGGGTGGGAGAGAAGGGCCCCTGAGCCCTGTGTCCATGCTCTGAGCGAAGGGCCGCCCTTTCTGGCCTTCCACTTTCCACCTCTCACCATTTCCCTGCAGCTCGGTCTGAGCTCCCCCACCTCTCCTTTCGTTCCCCAGTCACGGACTGAGCATGTGCCGCGTGCCCAGCACTGTTCCGGGCACTGGGGAGAGAGCAGGGCTACACAGGACAGACAACAGCCCTGTCTTTATGGTGCTGCTTCTATCAGGGAATCAGTAAACAAGGCACATAATAAACAAACAAATAAACATGGTATGTGTTAGCCCAGCTGGCACGGCTCAGTGGTGGAGCATCGACCTATGAATCAGGAGGTCACAGGTTTGATTCCCGGTCAGGGCACATGCCTGGGTTGTAGACTCGATCCCCAGTGTGGGGCATGCAGCAGGCAGTGTTGGGGTCCAACTCCAGCAGGTCCAGGGGTTCCCAAAGGTGTGGACAGAGTCGGCGAAGAAGGAATGACATGAAGACTGTGTTCAGTTGATCAGCATAGCCAGGTTCTCTCTTTATTGTCCTGTTACATCTGTATTTATACTATTTGATCCTATAAGCATGCCTCTATAATCACATCATGGTGTGTTTTGGGTAACGTCCTACAGTTCCTTGTTTCTTATCTGACCTTTGCCAAAAATCCTGTCTCTATCTAGTTCTATTGATTTTAATCTTGTCTAGGTTAATCTCTGTGTTCCATTACAAGGGCTATTCCAAGGTCGCTGCTCTACTGATGGGCTACAAGGAAATGACTGAAGGAGTTTATCCTACCCATTAAAGGTTATGTCTTCCCAGCCTCGCTGCTTGCCTTCCCTGGGACTGCCCTGTGTCCGTGGGTCTCCAGGGGTATAAGCTTTGGTGCTTTCCCTGGTGGGAAGACCCCTGGGGATGTGGGCCCAACAAGTCCCAATTTTTTTTTAAATATATTTTTATTGATTTTTTACAGAGAGGAAGGGAGAGGGATAGTTAGAAACATCGATGAGAGAGAAACATCGATCAGCTGCCTCCTGCACACTCCCTACCGGGGATGTGCCCGCAACCAAGGTACATGCCCTTGACCGGAATCGAACCTGGGACCCTGGAGTCTGCAGGCCGACGCTCTATCCACTGAGCCAAACCGGCTAGGGCAAGTCCCAAATTTATTGCCAACAGTCTTAGTCCAAGTTCTTCATAAGTAGTACATGGTATTTCTGTAACACTAGGGGGATTTACTGATTTATTCTCTTCCTTAGTCCTGTTAATCCCTAACCTGGGGAAACAACCTTACTCAGGGAGGTGGTCCTGTTTAAAATACATAGCGCCAAGACGGGGAGCAAACCATATGCCATATACGCCAGGTCCTTTGAAACATAAGCTGTGCAGATGTTTCTTCCCTGCAGCGACTGTGTCAAGCAGCAAGGGTGGACCAGCTTCCAGCAAGGCAGCCCATCAATAATTCTCTCTCATCATTGATGTTTCTATCCCTCTCCTCCTCTCCCTTACTCTCTGAAATCAATAAAATATATATAGGTATATAGATTTTTAAAAAGGTATGTGTTAGAAGGAGCTTCAGAAAAAATAGAAAGGTGAGAGAGGTCAAAGAGGAGTTCAAGGGCAAGAGAATGTTGTAATTTCGCTGAGAAAATGAACTTGGAAGTGTGAGTCTGAGAATGCTGGGTTCCGGGTCAGATGCTGCCCTCGGATCCTGGCCAGGCCCCTTGCTGGGTTTTTCTGTGGGAGAGATCTGCGCTCCTCTGACACATGGGGAAACGGGAGCCCGCAGGCAGGAGCGATTGGAGGGTGCTGGGAAGACCTGGGAGCCCCCGAGAGCTCCTGGACCCGCCGTCCACTCCCCAGGCTCTTCTCCGGGGCTGGCCGCTTGGCTGTTTATCTTGGTCAGTGCTGGTGTTAATAAATGACTTGGAGCCCGTGAGTTTTGGAGCAAAGGTCTTGGTTGACAAACTGGAGGAGTTGCTCTTCTCCCTGCCACCACCCCTTCAACTCCCTGACCTTCTATTTTCCCGTGTGGAAAATGGGGACACCAGGAGTATCAACACTGTGACATCATTCCACAGCTTCCGCCGGATCAAGCTACTGAAAAGCCGGCCGCAGATCCCTGGCACAGCGGACGTCCCCAATGAATGTGATCCATAGCGAAACCCCCTCCCAGCCACCCGGCCAGGGCTTAAGATGCTTTTTAAATTTCATCTGCCCCAGTGGCTGCTGCATATTTTTTTGGGGGGGAAATGTAATGCTTTGAATTCACAAGACATTTATTCTAGCCACAGAAAAGGCTTGAAAAAGGGGAGGACTTGCTGACGGGGTTTCCACTGCCGGAAATCATGCAGACTTGCTTTTCAGGCCTGGCCAGAAGCTGCTGGGACTGTGTGGGGAAGGCAGTTATGGTCTGGCAGGACCTGGTAACAGGTCCCTCTACTCTGAACAAGGAACAGTATTCATTTGTTCATTCATTCATTCATTCATTCATTCTCACAGCACCCTAAGGAGGTACACAAGGCAGATCTTTGTCAATTAAGTGTTGGCTGAATGAATCTTGCCTTGCTATGCTTTTTACCCTGGAGATTTGGAGACTGGCCAGATCACCTCCTCTAGAGAGCCCACCCAGATTGCCAGAGGCTAAGTCCAGGCTCACTCTCCTGGGCTCTACCAGAGACTTCCAGCTGTCATTGTGTTCCAAGGCTGGTTGCTTCCAGCAACTGGGACTTCCTTGGGGACAAAGCTTAGTGGTCTCTGGCCATCCATTTGTGGGGGCTGGGAAGGGGCGCAGGCCAGGTGTAGTGTGAGCACGGGGAAGGAGGGGGAGTGCAGCCTTCTCGTCAGAGGGGACAGAACTTACAAAGGAAGCACAGAGTGCAAGAGCCTGGTGAGTTCAGGGAGGAGCATCCCTGGAGAGGGGTACACACTTGGGGGGAGGCTGACACTATAGGCTGGGCTGTTAGGACTGTGGCTGTGCCGTAGGTGGGTTTGGGTTTGGTTTGCCTCTAGGAAAGGGACTGCAGTTGTGGGGCCCCCCTTGGAAGGGGATGAAGTGGAGGCAGGGAGGCTGGAGAGAGAGATGGGAGGTGGGGCTGCCTCCCTGGGCCTCTTGAGGCTCAGCAAAGACTCAGGAGGCAAACCAGGCGCCTAGAACCCTGCAGAAGGGACCAGGTCTGCTCAGCTGGCTCCAGCGAATGACATGTCACATCCTGGAGCTGCCATGGGATTCCGTGGCCCTGTTCCCAGAATGTGGGTCACCAGCCCCGGGGAGGGGAGCGGGGCACCTGAGCCTGTGGAAAGGCGGAGGCTCCCCGTGGCCGCCTGTCCTTCTGAACTCCTTTGTCCCGCAGCTTCTATTCCAAGGACAATGAAGGCAGCTGGTTCCGCTCACTCTTCGTGCATAAGGTGGATCCCCGGAAGGACGCCCACTCCACCCTCCTCTCCAAGAAGGAGACCAGTAACCTCTACAAAATCCAGTGTGAGCGGCTGCTGCGCCCCCCAGCCTGCCCGCCAGCCCTCCCCTCCACACAGGCTTGGGTGGGGAGGTCCTGAGCTGCCCCGGGCGCCCTGGCCCTGTGGGGCTCCCCACACCCGAGCTCCCCGCGGACACACACACCCCCCTGCTTCACCTCCCACTCTGTCCTCTCTTGCAGTTCACAATGTGAAGCCTGAGTGTCTGGATGCCTACAACAGCCTGACGTGAGCATCTTCCTCCATCCACCTGCTCCCGTGCCTGTTGGGGTGGGTGGGGACCTCTCCCAGCCCCATGCTCCTTACAGAAGTCCAGGGATGCACATTTTGGAGCCGGAAGTCCTAAGGCTGTCTTGTCCGGCATCTGCATCTGAGAGATGGGGAGGCTGACACCCAGGCCCGAGGGCCTGAGTGGAAACCCTTACCTCAGGGTGCGATGTGGCTGGTGTGAGCCCCTCCATCTCTGTGCCCCTCCCACAGGGAGGCCGTGCTGCCCAAGCTGCACCTGGATGAGGACTATCCCTGCTCGCTTGTGGGCAACTGGAACACGTGGTATGGGGAGCAGGACCAGGCAGGTGAGGTGGCCCCGTCTCCAGCACCACTGCCGTCCACCCAGGCCCCCCCCCCCCACCCCGCACCTCTTACACCTGGCTACCCTCCACCCCCTCTACAGCAGCACACCTGGGGGCTTTCTTTTTTTCTTCTTCTTTTTTTTTTAATATATTGTTATTGATTTCAGGGAGGCAGGGAGAGGGAGAGAGAGAGAGTTAGAATCATCAATGATGAGAGAGAATCATTGATTGGCTGCCTCCTGTACACACCCTGCTGGGGATCAAGTCTGCAACCCGGGCACGTGTCCTGACCAGGAATCAAACCATCATCTCCTGGTTCATAGGTCGATGCTCAACCACTGAGCCACACCAGCCGGGCCAGAGTGGTCTTTGTAAATACAATCCCTCATCGACTCACTCCCCTGCTCAGACACCTGTGGGGGCTCCCCTCTGCCCTTGGGGTGGCCCACAGGGCTCTGCGCGTCCTTCCCTGCCCAGCCTCTGGCCTCATCTCTCCACATCCTCCTTGCTTCCTGTGCTGTCCTGCCTGCGATAGTTTCACCCTCTGGCTCCACACTGTTATTCTTGCTGTTTCCTCCGCCTGAAGCAGACTTTCTCCCTTGCCTACTTTCCCTGGTTTACTCCTCTCCTCGTCTTTTATTTTGATATAGACATCACCTCCTCCTGGAGGCCTCCCTGATTCCTTCGACCAAGCTGGGCCAGGCCTCTCCCCTGGCTCCCCAGCACCTAAGACTTGCCTTTTCTCTGCCCTGATAGTGCAGCCTATGGTGTACTTGTCTGTCTCCCCTTGTAGGTGGTGAGTCCTGGGAAGGCGGGGCCCCTGTCTGTCTGTCTGTCTTCATCACTGAATGAATCCCCGGTATGCGGCTCACATTTGTGGAATAAATAGGGGCTCTTGTCTGAGCTGGTTCCTTACCCCCCAGCATGCCCCACCCCACCCCTACTCACCCACCTCAGTTGGCGCCAGGTGGTAGGGGCCACCCATGGATTTGGTTGACTCATAGCAGCTCAGCCACTCAAAGGGGGCTTTGGCCTTGAGGTCTATACTGTCCGGGAAGGTAGCCACTAACCACATGTAGCTATTTAAGGTAAAATTAGGTGAAATGAAATGAAATGAAAAATTCAGTCCTCAGTCACACAAGCCACATTTCAAGCAGCATGTGACTCTGGCTACCGTGTTGGACAGCACGGCTATAGAACATTTGCATCGCAGTAGACAATCCTCTTGTCCGGGACAGATTTAGACTCTGCACAGCACAGGGAGCGCCTCTGGAGCTGCCCTGATAGGAGGTTCTCTACGCTTCCCTTGAACTCTCCCAGCAGTGGGGAGCTCACTACCTTTTAAGCCAGCTTATCTCATTCTTTCATAGTCCTGATAATCGTGTCTTTTAAAAAAATTTTTTTTTATTGATTTCAGAAAGGAAGGGAGAGAGAGAAACATCCATGATGAGAGAGAATCATTGACTGGCTGCCTCCTGCACGCCCCCCACTGGGGATCGAGCCTGCAACCCGGCCACGTGCCCTGACCGGAATCGAACCATGACCTCCTGGTTCCTAGGTCAATGCTCAACCACTGAGCCACAGCGACTGGGCTACATTTTAATGAATTTATAAGAATCACTGATCCTTCTTCTAGAAGAACTACTTTCATGGTTAGAGATTTATTTCTTCAAGTGAATCTACACGCCCTGCCTGTAACTTCTTCCTCTTGGTGGTCCTTCCTCACCGTCCCCCCCACCCCACCACCACCCTGTATTAACTTCATTCCTCTTCCCCAGGTCAGCATCCCTGGTCGTGGTAGCCTTCCATCCATACAGTGCTTTCGCTGTTTCCCCTTGGGAAGGGCCTTTACACAAACCGTAGGGTCAGACAGTTTTGCAGATGGAACCATCGAGGCACAGATGGAGTCCAGAGGCAGGTGATGGACAGGCTGGGGCTAGGGACCCGCATTTGGGAAGCCGGTTAGCCAGCTGCCCGCAGTGTAGCATCCGATGGGCCTTTGGGGCGCTTTCCTCCCGTGTCCCAGCTGTTCTCCCAAGGATGGAAGACTGTTCTCTCTGCTTCCACGGTAGTGGGTTCTTCAGTATTTCACAATGTAGTCGCCTCCTAGGACTGCTGTGACAGAGTTCCAACACTAGGCGGCTTAAAACAACAGAGGTCTGCAGCCCAGAGGTTTGAACTCAAGGTGTGGGCAGTGCCACGCTCCTTCCCAAGACGAGGGGGAGCATCTTTTCCCCCTTTTCCAGCTGCCGGTGGTTGCTGGGAACTCTTGGCGTTCCTTGGCTTGTAGAGGCGTCGCTCCTCCCCGTGTCTCTCTCTTCACTTGGTATTCTCTCTCTGTGTGTCCAGATCGCCCCCTCATAAGGACACGCGTCATTGAATTTGAGGCCAACCCAGTATGAGCTAATATTCGTTTAATTATACCTACAAGGAGCTTATATTTCCAAATCAAGTCACATTCTGAGGTCCTGGGCAGGCGTGGGGATAGGGGACATACTGAACCCAGTCCCAAGGCTAGAGGAGAAACTTCAAATAGGGCAAGAGCTTTCGGTGCCAAGTCAGCCTCCTTCCTGCCTGCAGCCCCCAGGCCTCGGGTCTCTGCCCCAGGGCCATCTGCTGTCAATCCCATGGGTCTCCATCAAGAGATGGCGCAGAGACCAGTGTCCCTGGAGAAGTCCCTCCGCCCCAAACACGTGGTGGCATACCGTACATGCTGTTCTGTCCCTTGGTTTATTTTTTTTTAATTCCCTGTCTTGGAATGTTCCATCTCAGCCCATCAGACCTACCCCCTCCTACTGTGTCCCTCACAGCCTGGCTTTCCGTGTGCCCTGCTCCTTGGGTATAAATTCACGTCTGGTTCAAGTTGCTGTTTAAGGATGTTTGGGTGGGGGCGTTATTGTTGGGTTTTTTAAAAAATATATTTTATTGATTTTTTACAGAGAGGAAGGGAGAGGGATAGAGAGTTAGAAACATCAATGAGAGAGAAACATTGATCAGCCACCTCCTGCACACCCCCTACTGGGGATGTGCCCACAACCAAGGTACATGCCCTCGGCCGGAATCGAACCTGGGACCCTTCAGTCCACAGACCGACGCTCTATCCACTGAGCCAAACCGGTTAGGGCTTATTGTCATTTTTAAGATGAGGACATTGAAGCCTGGAGGGGTCAAAGGCCACCTGGCAGAGCTGGGGCTCCAGCCTAGGTCTTCTGGGCTTGTGTCTGGGGTCATGCCCTGCCCAGCACTGGCCCCCGCACCCCCCCCCCCCCCCCAAGGCAAAGGGTCCTGGTGCTACCGAGAACCAGGCTGGAGGCCACAGCCCTACATACATGCTTAGCCAATTGGGGTGAAGCAGGACTGGGTCCCAGGGGCCCCCTGACCCGGACCTCTGCCCCACCACAGTGCACCTGTGGCGCTTCTCCGGCGGCTACCCCGCCCTCATGGACTGCATGAACAAGCTCAAAAACAACAAGGTACGTTGGCGTCCCCTCGGCAAACCTCTCCGCTTATTGGATCTGGCCCAGCCTGTGCCGGGGGCTGCCTCCGCCACCCCGTGGGACCCGCTGCGGGGGATGGGGCACGGGGGGTGGGAGTCCTGCTCCCCGGCTGCCCTGCCCTGACCGCCGCGCCCGCAGGAGTACCTGGAGTTCCGGAAGGAGCGCAGCCAGATGCTGCTGTCCAGGAGGAACCAGTTGCTTCTCGAGTTCAGCTTCTGGAACGAGCCGCAGCCCCGAGCAGGTCCCAACATCTATGAGCTGAGGACGTACAAGCTCAAGGTGCCTTCCTCCCGCCCGACCCCTGCCTGCCCCGCTCCCCCTGCTAGAGTGCAGCTATAGGCGCCCCGAGGCCGGTGCCCCGGCACGGAGGCTGGGGTTTCTGGCCTCTCCCTCCCTCTGGGCCCAGAACAGAGGTGTGTATGCACCTGGGCCCCTGATTGAGGCCAGGGGAGACTTGGCAGTTTCCGGCCTTCACCCAGCTGTGACGCTGGAATCCAAGGTGAGGGCTCATTCGATTTTCTTCTGGTTCTCTCTCAGCCAGGAACCATGATCGAGTGGGGCAACAACTGGTGAGTGGCCGTGCCGGGGGCTCGGGTTGGGGAGACCCTGCCCACCTGCCCTGCCAAGGCCCCTAGTTAACCTTTCCCGGGGCCAAATGGCAGGGAACCCTGCAACCTCTGCCCCTCGGGGATCCCGTGGGAGGATGCAACCAGGAGGTGAGCATCTTCTAGAGACTCCCCTGGGATCACCCAGCCCGCAGCTCACTTCCGTCACCCCATTCCCCAGCCATCTCGAGAGCTGGGGGCCTCGGGCTTCTCCCTTGAGGTGGAGCAGAGAAATCAGCCTGGAGACACCTCAGGGGGCCCTGTCTCCCGGCCCTGGCGTCTCCCCAACACTCTTCCGCCGTGCAGGGCTCGGGCCATCAAGTACCGACAAGAGAACCAGGAGGCAGTGGGCGGCTTCTTCTCACAGATAGGAGAGCTCTACGTGGTGCACCATCTCTGGGGTAGGCTCCTCCCCCCCCCCCCCCCCCCCAGGGGCAGTGCAGGGAGAGCCAGTCCTGTGTGCCCAAGGAATGAGGCAATGCCTTTCCCACAGCCTACAAAGACCTGCAGTCTCGGGAAGAGACTAGAAATGCTGCTTGGAGGAAGAGGGGTTGGGACGAAAATGTCTACTACACAGGTGAGTCCCTTCTCCGGGGAGCAGGAGGGCTGGAGGGGGCAGTAGGGCCCTTGGAGGTCATCTGCTAGGAGCCCTATTTGAGGATGGAATCTAGTCTCCCTTGACTACCTCCAGCGATGGGGAGCTTGCTTTGAAGACAGTGAGTTATTGGGGTTCCATCCTGGTGGCTCACTGCACGTGGTCCAGGCAGGCCTACGTGAGTGCTCTAGGGGATGCCATAGCAACCAGGAGGTCCCTGCCTCTGAGGAGTGGAGTTGTGTGCCCTGTGACCTCGGGCGCGGCTCTCCACCTCACTGAGGCTGTTTCCTCGTCTGTACAATGGCGATGGTGACGGTGCCTGCCTTGGAGGGCTCAAGGGAGGGCTCCAGGAGCCAGTTTATAAAGAGGGCTACACCCAGGTCCTGGCACAGAGGAAGCACGCAGCAAATATTTCCCAGCCAGTTCTCTGTCCCTTCGCTGGGCCTCCTAGGACCACCTGGATCAGTAGGTGTTGACTGACGGAGCCCTTTTGTCCTACCAGTCTACTACTACAGTTACTTTCTTGGTATTTTTCTATAAATGCTTTACCTAGCATTGTCCTAAGCAATCGTATCTGTGAAATCACTTTTTACTAGGCTAGTGTTGTTGTTTTTTAAATATATTTTTATTTATTTCAGAGAGGAAGGGAGAGGGAGAGAGAGATAGAAACATCAATGATGAGGGAGAATCATTGATAGGCTGCCTCCTGCATGCCCCCTACTAGGGATCAAGTCCATAACCTGGGCATGTGCCCCTGACTGGAATTGAACCTGGGACCCTTCCGTCTGCAGGCCCATGCTCTATCCACTGAGCCAAACCGGCTAGGGCGAGGCTAGTTTTTTTGTTTTGTTCTCACAAACCCAGGAAAATAAATGTATAATTATGAAAAGCGTTGACATGTTGCATTTCATCGCCACCTCAGTCCTCCCTTCTCTCACCATTTGGAAGACCCGGTGCTCTCCCTGGGCCATTCCGGGAGGACGGTGGGCATTTCCTGTCTCGGCGTCGCAGGCACTCTCCCCCTCAGAAGCCAGTTTCCTGGGTGAGCTGGCCGCGTTCACCTCTGTGACCTCCGCCTCTCCCCGCAGTGCCCCTGGTGCGACACATGGAGTCTCGAATCATGATCCCTTTGAAGATCTCGCCTCTCCAGTGATGCTGCTGCTGCCGCCGCCTCACTGCCCTTCTCCCGCTGACAGCCACGGACAGAGGGGCTCCCAGTCCAGCTGTCTTGGTTTTCTCTCTGATCTGGAAGGACTCTGAGGGCTAGTGCTCAGCTCAGACAACGGGGAGCTGAGGATGACAGAGTCCTGAGGACTTTGCAGCTCTGCCTGCCCTGCCCATCCCTGCCCCTGTGCTGGAAGCAGTTTTTAATTTCTTTGAATGAAGAACAGCAACCTTTTATGTCTTCTCACATTCCCACCCCCCCCCCAAAATTCCTCATCTCGGGCCCACCAGTCCCCAAGTATCACCAAGGAAAACAACAATTTAGCTTTAGTTGTACAAAAGGTAGTGTGTCCAGTGGTTAGAGGTGGGAAGGGGTCAAAGCAGACCAGGCTCTCGGGGAAATTCCCCGGTCTCCACTGGCCATCCACTTGCTGGACAGTCCGACCCACATCCCTCCTGCTGGGGAAAAGCCTAGAACTGCCTAGAATTGCAAGAAGTAAAGGGAAATCCTCAAGTTAGCAAAGTCAGCCGGAGGTTCATCTCATGAACCCAGAAAGGCTGGAGAAATGGAGCTGGGAAGGATCTGGGGGCAGGAAACAGAATGGAACAGAACGAGAACCAGGAACCCAGAAGGTAGAACGTAGAATTCACAGCCTGGGTTTGAACTGCAGAACTTGGAATACAGAATGGGGGACATAGCACCGAGGTGACGAGACCACCTGGGAGGGTTTCCTAATACAAGGCAGCTGGAAAGAGGCTCCTCGCTTTCCCTCTACACCCTGTGGTTGAAAACCTGAATGTGTCGTTGCAGCCGTCTGTCTGTGCAGGGAGTCTCCTGCCCTCCCTTTCCCTTCCTGTGGGCAGATATCGGGCCACGGCCTGTGCTTTTCCTCGGTGACCTCCACACCTCATGAACCACTGGGTAGGTTGATTATGCCTCCCCTTTCAGGAAAACTTGCGCTGGAATTGCTGACGGAAATATTAAATGTTTACTATAAACCATGGTGTCTTCTCATCATCTGCGAGGAGCTCTGGTAGGTGCCCGAGGCGGGGCCAGCTTCCCAGGTCCAACTGCTGATTTTCCTCCCCACGTGGTCCTGTGCTTCTGGAACTGCTTCTCAGGGAGGGTCGCCTCCGTGGCAAAAGGAACGCCTGTGTAACCAGGGATTCGGGACATCAGTGTTTCTACCTCCAGATAAGGATTCATACCAGAGTCCTGAACCTGCCCGTGCACTTCCTACCCGGGGTAGAAACACTTGGAGCTGTGAAACGATGCATTAGGACTGCGACTGCCTGGGCAAATCGGGCCTAAGCTAGGGAACTGCTGGTGCACTTGGGGGAAAAACACGTGTAAGATGGGGTTAATGCCCCGCCTGGCTCGCTGCCCTCCATAGTGTGGGATGTTAGGGTGAATGTGACAGTTAAGAACCCAGGGTATGGAGGCATATCCACAGGGGTCCAAATCTTCACACTGCCACACTTCGAAATCTTTTTAAGTTACTGATTTTAGAAACACCCATTTGTTGATGCATTCATCGGTTGATTCCTGTATGTGCCCTAACCCAGCTGGAACCGGCAACCTTAGCAATCGCCAGGCTCTAACCAGTTGAGCGACCCGGCCGGGGCTCTACACTACCCGACTCTTGTGTAATCTTGGGCAAAAGACCTATTCACTCAACAAATACTTGGCAGAGAGCCTACTAGTCGCGGGCATTAAGGCGCTGGGGGAAGAGTGAACGAAACACACTGAGTCTTTGCCCGCGCAGCCTCAGTTTCCTGGTTTCCCAGGGCAACGTGCGGTGATGGCAGTGGGATCCTCCCTGGCAACCCAGTTGCCTCAGCCCCTGGCGCCCAAGTCACCAAACCGCAGCCAGCACGGGGCGCCAGCCACTATTGCAAGCTTTCAAGCTTCGCTTCCGGCTTCCACGCCTCGCTTCCGGTCTCCGTGCCTCGCTTCCGGCCTCCGCCTTCCGCTTCCGGCCTCCGTGCCGCGCTTCCGGCCGCTCCCTCCTTCCTTCCGCTTCTCGATGGTGCGCGGGCTGCAGTTCCCCCGGCCAGCCGCCTGAAGTGAGTGGAACGCGGGGGCCGGTTCGGGGCGCGGGGCGGCGAGGAGGGGTCGGGGCCCTGGGAGGGCGGCTGGGCGAGGCCGGGGGCTCGGGGGCTCGGGGACTGCGGGGCGGGCCGGCCGCCCGGGGGCGTCCTCGGGCCGGAGTCCCGCCCGGGTTCTCTGTCCTCGGGGCCCTGCGCGCTCCGTGTCCTCTCGTGGGCAGTGCTGGCTGCAGCATCCCAGGCCCCACGTTGCAGCCTTTTTAAACGACGAGGACGAAGGCGGTGGTGAAAACAGCGCCCATGTCCCGGGCGCTCAAGTTTGTGAAAGACACTCTTTTCTGGGTCCCAGTCGTGGTTGCTCGCACGGAAGCCTTTCAGGTCTTTTGGCCAAAATCAGCTTATACCATGTAGGACCGTTTCCTAAAGGCTCTTAATGGAGCCGCTTGAAAAAAATGTTGTATTGATTTTGAGAGAGAGAGAGAAGCATCGACGTGAGAAGGAAACATGGGTGGGTTGCCGCCCATAGGCACCCCGACGTGGGGCGGGGGTGACGCTAACCGCAACCTGGATGGACGGGAATCGAACCCCGTAATCCTTTGGGGCCCGGGAGGGCGCCCCACCCACTGAGCCACCCGGCCAGGGCTGCATCGAGCCACTTTTAAAATTTAAATTTGCTTGAAACGTCATACACGTAAAACTCGGTTCACTTGTCATGTGCAGAAGGTTATGATAAGAAGTTAATATATTTAAAGTGAAGACGTCCTTGTTCATGATTCCGGCCGGGTCTCCCTGTCTCAGGCTCTGCGATAGAGTCCCTTCGTGAAGCGAGGAACGTCGGGGTTCACAGATGGTCAGCGAGGGGCGTCAGACGCTCCTGGGAGCAGTCGGCCGTTTCTAACAGGAATCGGAAAGAGTCGCTTGCTCCTCGGTGCCGCCGTCATCGAAGATCACGCTGTGCCCCCACCCCCACCCCCGCCCAGGACCCGCTCCCCATCGCCTGCATCGCCTTCCCGGCCCGCAGCCACAGCCACCCCTGAGGTAGGGCCTCTTTTCTCACTGGGTCTGCGAGGGGGACAGGGCCCGGAGGAAAGGGCAGGGACTGGTCCCAGGACTCAGCCTCCAGCTCAGGGCTTCCCCGGCTCCGCTTCCACGAGCAGCGGGCTACCCCGATGGTGGTTGGTGACTGGTTTGTTGGGGTACGGGAGGGGGTGCTGCCCACCTCGGGGGGCTGTGGTGACAGCCAGGAGAGAGAGCAGAGGGAGGGTGCTCCCTGACCCAAGAGCTCCATGAAATGTAGGCTCTGCTTTTTTTTTTAAATTGATTTCGGAGAGGAAGGGAGAGGGAGAGAGAGAGAAACATCAATGATGAGAGGGAATCATGGATCGGCTGCCTCCTGCACGCCTCCTAGTGGGGATCGAGCCTGCAACCTGGGCCTGTTTCCTGACGGGGAATCGAACCCAGGACCCTTCAGTCCGCAGGCTGACACTCTATCCACTGAGCTACACTGGCCAGGACTAGGTTCTGCTCTCTTAAATGTTGGGGGTCCCCAGGGAGTTGACAGCATCCCCAGATGAGATGGTGGCAAGAGGAGGCGGCACGATAATGGGGTTAAGAGCACTGATGGGACATCCCAGCTGTGTCGGCCGGGGCAAGTCATTCCGCTTTCTGATGCTCCGTGTTCTCATCTATAAAACTTGCTTCTTCTTATCTGAAAGGTTTGTATAAAGAGCAAATGAGAACATTACCCACAGAGTGCTTAGGTCAAGGACCAGCTCAGGGTGATGAGGCAGTAGTATCAGGGACGTGCTATTGGCCAGGCTAAGGCGCTTGGTCAGTGGTGTGGTGGTGCCTTTACAAGATGTGGAGGGGAGGAAGATGAGTTCATTTCGGACAGGCCGAGGGATGACCCCTCGCCCTCCTTTTATAGAGGATTTATTTATTTATTTATTTATTTTTAAATATATTTTATTGATTTTTTACAGAGAGGAAGGGAGAGAGACAGAGAGTTAGAAACATCAATGAGAGAGAAACATCGATCAGCCGCCTCCTGCACACTCCCTACTGGGGATGTGCCCGCAACCCAGGTACACGCCCCTGACCGGAATCGAACCTGGGACCCTTCAGTCCGCAAGCCGACGCTCTATCCACTGAGCCAAACCGGTTTCGGCTATAGAGGATTTAATTGCAGCTTGGGAGGCTTGTCTGTTTTTCTTTTAAATCCTCACCCAAGAATATGCTTAGAAACAGGAAGGGGGCGAGAGAGAGAAACATCCATCAGTTGCCTCCCGTACACACACCGACCAGGACTCGAACCCACAGCCTTTTGGTGTACGGGATGATGCTCCAGCCAACAGAGCTACCCCGCTAGGGCTGAAAGGTTGAGTCTTTTCTTGGGTTACCGAGGGTGTAAATGACCACAACTGCTCATTAGACTTAAGTTTTCTGACCACAGGAAAATCCGAAAGCTTTCTCCTCTTAACAGGTCTCTGCTGTTTCTTCCTGACCTCACCAAACAGCCATGTCCTCAGAGTCGAGCAAGAAGCGGAAGCCCAAAGTGATCCGAAGTGATGGCGCTCCAGCGGAGGGGAAGCGGAATCGTTCTGACCCCGAGCAGGTGGGGCTCGCGGGCTGCCATGCTGCTGAGGGAGCACAGCTGGTTGCCGGGCACCTGGCTGCGGGTTTGCAGCAGCTGAGGGTCAGAGGGACAACCTTCCAGGGAGCCTCTGTTTAACCAGGTGCCCAGAATTCACTTGGCTCTCCAGGGCCTGAGTGTCCCCATCAGTTGTAGCTGCAGCATCCCAAGAACCAAAACTTTTTCTTTTTTTTTTAATTTAAATTCTTTATTGTTGAAAGTATTACATATGTCTCCTTTTCTCCCCATGGACCTCTCCCTGGCCACTCCCGCACCCAGCACATGCCCTCGCCCCCCTACTTGTGTGTCCATTGGTTATGCTTATATGCATGCATGCAAGTCCTTTGGTGGATCTCTTACCACCACCACCACCCCCCGTTTTTTATTTTGTTTTTGATACTCCTCCTTCCTTACTGAATCTGTCACTAAGCCTGCATTCCTTTATAATCAGAAGAGAGGAGTTCTTTTCCATTTTGAAAAGAAGAAAAACATTTGATTTGAGGACCAGATCCTTTAGAGACCTGCTTTGGGGTTTCATTGCTATTGATCTCAGCCCATGCCCCTGGTCCTGACTGGGAGACTTTTATTCCCTATTCAAGGCCTGTATCCTTGCCTCCACAGGAAGGCAAATACTACAGTGAGGAGGCTGAGGTGGACCTGCGGGACCCTGGAAGAGATTATGAGCTGTACAAGTACACGTGCCAGGAGCTGCAGCGACTCATGGCTGAGATCCAGGACCTGAAGAGCAGGGGAGGCAAGGATGCGGTAAGGAGTGGACTAGGCAGATATGAACCTGGTGGGTCCACATGGATGCACCTGTTTCGCACTTACCAGAGAGAGCCCATCCTGACCTTGGCCTCCTGTCCTAGCCGTGAATAGGTCATTGGGGCCTGGGCGCTCTAGGGACCTGTCTATTAATCTATTGGAACTTCTCATCACCATCCACTCACAAATGACAGTAATGATAAAATACAGGATAATGAATTTTTCCCATAACTATAATTTGATAATTTATCCAAATAATGTGTATTAAGTGCTAAGTATTTTTTTAAAAAATATTTATTTTTATTGATTTCAGAGAGGAAGGGAGAGGGAGAGAGACATAGAAACATCCATGAGGAGAGAGAATCATCGATTGGCTGCCTCCTGCATGCCCCCGACTGGGGATTGAGCCCGCAATTCCGGGCATGTGCTCTTGACTGGAATCGAACCCGGGACTCCTTGGTCCGCAGGCCTATGCTCTATCCACTAAGCCAAACCAGCCAGGGTTAAGGGCTAAGTATTTTGCTAGGTGTTGAGAAATGACATGTAAATACCCTTGCTGTTATAAGGGTGGATATGTACAAGGAAATCAGAACAAAAATTAAATTATTACTACTAAATGAATAAACCAGGCTTTTGGGCAGAGAAACTAAACAGTGTGACTATAAACTAGATGAATAAGTTCAAAACAAAACAACCCATATTTTGCCAGGAATCTCATGTGTTTACACTGGCCAATATTGTTAAAATTATTATATTTTAGCTCTTAAAGAGAGTCAAATTTTACAGCTATAATTCTTCTATTTTCATTTAAATTATTCTGAAATGCTGTTTACAGAGGTAAAATTGTATGGTAAGATTTTGGATCTCTTGTGTGCGATATGTAAGGACAGATTTTTTGTGCGTTGGCTGCACTTGCTCCCTATTCAACTCCTGTTAACTTTGGTCCAACCAGAAATGGCTTTTTGCCCTGAGAACCTTAAGCCCTTCCCTTGTATAGTCATTCTTTCATTTCTCTCTGACTCTTCTCATGATTCTGCCTCTTTCCATGGTCTTATTTTGGAGCCGAAGGAAGCGAGCCAGTGCCCGTTCTTGCGGTGTTTACCAGCTTTTCTTTGCCCGCAGGCAGTTGAGATTGAAGATCGCAGGATCCTGAGCTGTGTTCATTTCATGACTCTAAAGAAGCTTAACCGATTAGCCCACATCAGGTTGAAGAAAGGACGAGATCAGACCCATGAGGTAGGAGTTGAGAGGTTTAACCCTTCTCCTCCTCCCTCCTCCCCATCCCCTTCTCAGTGCCCTTTACCCCTTTTTCTGAGTTGGCTGCCACTCTGCTCTGCCCCGCCCCACCCTGACTTGCCCCTCTCACCTCTGACCTTCTCCTCCTTTCAGGCCAAGCAGAAAGTAGACGCCTATCACCTGCAGCTCCAGAACCTGTTGTATGAGGTGATGCACCTGCAGAAGGAGATCACTAAATGTCTGGAGTTCAAGTGAGTTTTGGAGGCCAGGGCTTTGGCAAGAGGGTCTGTTAGTAACTGCCTTTTCCCGCATAGCTCTGTGTGAGCTAGTCTCTTCAAAAAGAAATCAGATGATTGTGGAGACGGTAGGACCTGGGAGAAGGGTGAATAGATGACTTTGAGTGGGAAGGTTGGAGGCAATAGTTTTAGGCTGCGCAAAGAAACTCCGAAGCCTGTCTGACCATTTTGAGTTTTGAGTTCCGCACCTGGTCAGAAGCAGTTGTCTCTCCCTAGTAGGGGCCTTTGCGTTCATTACCAGTTTGATTTCTGAGCAGCCTTGTTGGGAGCAGCTCACCTCCAGTCATGTCCTTTTAACCTTTTGGCCCAGTTTTCATCTCTAAAGTTCCAGCAGTTCATTTTTGCAAACCGGGATTTCTTGCTGCTTAGCTGCCTTTGGTGAACAAATACGAATTTGCAGTGTTCTTTTTAAAATGTAATAATGCCTCTTGGCAAATCCAAGGTGAGAGATGAGAAGGGAGGGAGGAGTAGAAGAGAAGGGAGCATGTTCTTGCTTGGTCAGACCCATTTGTGCCAACTGAAAGGTGTTATTTGTAATAAACCGGGTGAGTGGGCACATTAGACATTGGGTCTAGTTTATTTTTAATAATAACGATGATGATTTTTGAGGAATCTTTATCTGCTCCACAAATTCATCACATAGTAATACTTAAATACTAGCAGAGGTGAAATCCACATCAGGTCTGAGTAGTATTGTACCATTGCCACTTTCCTGGTTTTGGCTTTGTACTGGTTAGGTAAGATTGTTACTGGAGGGGAAGGGTATGTGGAGGAAATATACCATCACTCCAGGTATGAAAACAATGGCGAAAAGAATGCGATGCCCCCGCCTGTGACCATTGCTCAGATGGAAGCCGATAAACCCAAAATGCAGTGGAACTAGGCCCATGGAGAGCCAGTGGCCCTGGAGTGAGGCATATCCCTGCGTAGCTATAGACCTGGGCTAAGTGGGTGTATATGGGGAGGAACTGGGGGCCTGCTTAAGCCACCGTTTGGGTTCCTAAGAACGGCAGCTTGACATTTGTTTTTGTCTGTAGGTCAAAGCATGAAGAAATTGATCTGGTCAGTGTAGAGGAGTTTTATCAGGAGGCTCCTCCAGATATCAGCAAGGCTGAGATCACCATGGGAGACCCTCACCAGCAAACCCTTGCACGTCTGGACTGGGAGCTGGAGCAGCGGAAAAGGTGGCTTTCCTCTTCCTGACCTTGTTAACCTGTGCAGACACGGCCCTTTAACCGCGGGGATAGTACTTTGTTATGATCCACAATCAGACAGCAAAGCTCTGTGCAGCCAGCAGAATGGTCTCTAAGACCAAACCCCATTTTGCGATGAATTCACACCCGATAGTTCAGATTTGGCCAACTGCATCATGAGTGGGGTTGGAATTGCTTCAGGCTGTTGACGGAAAGTTGGAGTAATCTTTCTTTTAAAATTTTGACACCTGAGACCTAAATACCTTTTGTACCATAAATCTAATTTTGATTTTGTCCTTTTCTCCTGTGGTTTTTAAAGCTTTGTAAACATTATTTTAGAAGGTTGTACAATATTTCATGTATAGACAAATTGTAACTCACATAATCGTTCCCTGATTGGATTGGACTGTTTTTCTTTGGAGAAGCAACTGTTTTTATCCCTTGCCTTTTCCGATTATTGAATGTATTCTGTGCCTTTGGTCCATGTTATGAATTTAATAAGCACTAAGTCTGATTCTTGGGGATTGGTGTCAATTTTTAGCAGATGGGCCTGTCACTCCCCTGTGCTCCTGGCACAGGCTAAACTGAGTGTTGTATTCCTGTGGCACTGGTCTGGAATCCTCCACCCGGCCCCACTCAAGCCACTCTCTGGCCTCATTTGGGTCCTGTAGCTATTAGGTCCACATGTTTGTGAAAGTTTGGGTCTGGCCTCTAGAGGCAAGAAATGGAGCAGATGACACGGGGGTATTCCCTGGAGGTTATGGACGGAGCCTCTGGAGCCAGACAGGCATGGACTCAAAGCCTAGCTCCGTGCTTGCTCTTTCCTGGATGACCTTGGGCAAGTTATCTACCTCCCTGAGCCTTCACGTCCTCCTTTGGGGATAAGAAAAGACCCTATCTTCCAGGGTTGTTGTTCTTGGTTTTTTTTGTTTGCTTGTTTTCAACAGACACAAGGCTTTTGTTTTTTCATTTTTCTAAATATATTTTTACTGATTTTCAGAGAAGAAGGGAAAGGGAGAGAGATAGAAACATGAATGATGAGAATCATTGATCGGCTGCACGCCTCCTGCTGGGGATCAAGCCCGCAACCCGGGCATGTGTCCTGACTGGGAATTGAACCATGACCTCCTGGTTCATAGGTCAGCGCTCAACCACTGAACCACACCAGCTGGCTCTCACAGGGTTTTTATAAAGATGTAATGCTTGTGAAGAGTTCTTCAAAGTGCCAGGCATATAGTACGTGCTAGGGAAACATTGGTTCGCCCCAGCTGCTTTTACTAGGGGGATTCTGACAGTGAACAGGCGTGTCAGGGTATCTCTGGAGAGCATCTGGGGACAGTGCTCTGTCCTTTCCCCACAGGCTGGCGGAGCAGTACCGCGAGTCCCTCTCCAACAAGGAGAAGATCCTTAAGGAGATCGAAGTGAAGAAGGAATACCTGAGCAGCCTCCAGCCTCGCCTGAACAGCATCATGCAGGTGAGGGCCTCCCCCCCACCCCATCGGCCTCTGCTTGGCCTCCACTGAACAGCCAGGGAGACCCTGCTGACCTGAGCCGCCAGCAGCTATGTCTGCCTTTGGCTTTAGCCAGGTGTGTCACCCTAACCTGAGTTAGGGTACAGTTCGAGGATGGTCCTGGGTAGAAGAAAAGCTGGCCAGGTGGACTCAGGGGCACATACACAAGTTAACTTGGGGTGCTTTCTTTTGTTTGTTTGTTTGTTCATCCTCACCCGAGGTTATATTCTCCATGGATTTTTAGAGAGAGTTGAAGGGAGGGAAGAGGAGAAAGAGGGAGAGGGAGAGGGAGAGAAACATCACTGTGAAAGAGATGCATCGATTGGTTGCCTCCCATATGCTTCCCGACTGGGGCCAGGGATCTAACCCAGGTACGTGTCCTGACCCGGAATCGGACACAAGACCCTTGGTGCATAGGCCAACACTCCAACCACTGGCCAGGGTTATCCCTGGTAAAACACGTTTTTAAAAAAAACGTATTTTTTTAAATTGATTTTTAGAGAGAGAGGAAGGGAGAGAGAGAAAAACATAAAAACATCAATGTATGAGAGAAACATTGATCAGCTGCCTCCTGCACCCCCTGACCAGAAATTGAACTGGCCACCTTTCGGTGCACGCTTTGACCAACCAACTGAGCCGCACCAAACAGGCCCACTTTTGCAAACTCTTTAGTTTACCCCCTACATGGTCTTAACCAGCCCCCGGAGTCTATAGGTGCCTAAGTGTGCTGTGGATTTCTGTTAGATTCCCTGATTGTACCTCGGGAAGATTTTTAGTATATTTACGCACTGTGAAAACATGACTCATATTTGAAAGCCATTAGGTACCCTAGGAGGAAAAGCCCCCACTTCACCTGTAAACTGTAGTGTCTGTCTATGTAGGTGGCCTGATTTTGTTTGCTTTGTGAAGCCAGATTTGGTCTAAGCCCTTACAGTTTTATGAAGCAGGGTAAATGGTTAATATGAAGGAACTTGGCAAAAGGACCCTAGAGAAATTACTAATTCCCTTTTCTGGGGTTTGGAAGTCTGCATTTTCTCCCTTCCACACTAGGCATAGAATTAGAATTATTAACAGAAATATTCCCAGTAACACTTTATAATGGGATAATGGGACAGAACAAAAATGGAAACTAAAAGAGTGGGCGGTACTTAATTTTTCCTGTTAAAAAATATGCCTGCAAATATTTAGGTTTGTAAAGTGACTGTACTGATTTACGGAAATTTCCTTCAGCACTATGAGAAAGTTCTAATTGCTCCTCATCCTCATCAACGCTTGCAGGCTTCCCTCCCGGTGCAAGAATACCTGTTCATGCCTTTTGACCAGGCTCACAAACAGTATGAGACGGCCAGACACCTGCCACCTCCCCTCTATGTCCTCTTTGTCCAGGCCACTGCGTATGGGCAGGCCTGTGGTAAGTACGGGGCCTGGTGCAGAAGAGGGGCCGTGGGCCGTGGGAGCAGCAGCTGTGGCTGATGGGGTCATTTGGAAGCACTGCCGGCTGAGGAAAGCTCTAGGCCTGGCTCAGACGCCCTCAGGTGACCAGTGCTGCCTGCCCTGTGCACCACCCAGCATGGCTGCTTTGACTAGCTGGCCTGAGGCTGGACTAAACCGATGGGCATTTCAAAATGAATGGCTTTGAATGTTTGATGAGCCTGGCTGGTCAGCTGTTGAGTGCAGTGCCCAGGCAGCCCAAAACACGTTTGGCAGGTGGATCGGCACCTCTTGCTCAGCTTCAGAAACTGAACACAGGTCCCAGCCAGCTCTTCTAGGCTTTTCCATGCCCCAAACAGGCTGCATGTCATTACGGTGAATTGCCCAGTGAGGGAATGTGTCCTCATGATAAGCTTAAAGGCAGCCCTTTACTCCTCCAGGGTTTTGAGACGTTTTGGAGACCCTGCCTCTTGCTCTTTGCCGCTTTCACCCAGCACCTAAAGCTTTCTTCCCCACCCCCACCAGAGCATGCTCTCCTCCACCACATCACTGTCTCTCTTCTTATGTCTTCTGGGTCCTTCTGGTCCTCTCCCTCCCTGTTGTCCTCCCTCCCCGTCGTCCTCCCTCTTGTTTCCATCATCAGCTCATATGAAATCCTCCCAGCCCCCTAGACAGGGTGAGTAATTTTCTTTTCTGTTTAAACCTCAACCTATTTCCATTCTCATTTTACTGTAGAATTTCAGGACTAAATTACTCAAAAGTTTGCCAGTGGCCGATGGGGGCAGCCAGCTTATTTGGGGTAAGGTGTGATGGGTCATGCAGGTTTGTTAGAGAGAGTAGTGGTCGGCTCCCTGGGAATATTATCCCAGTGGCCTGCACTTGGGGGAAGTTTGCCATCCCTCCATAGTACGATTGGATAAATCATTTCAGGTTGCTGTGACTGTCTGTGATCTGTATACTCTTCTGAATGGAGCAGGCGGGGAGGTGGCCTGTCTGACCTCCAGCCCTAGACCCACCGGGCTCCACCAAAGGCAGGCCCAGGCGTCACTCAGGAAGATGTCGGGTCTGTGCATGGTTCTTGAGATGCCAAGCTCAAGTCAAATAGACCTAGCTTATTTTTTTCCTGGCTGTTGTATCAAACTTCTATAAGCCTTCATTTTCTCATCTGTAAATGTATAAAAAGTATAATAATAGTGTTACTCCTATAGGGTTGTTGTGAAGATGGAAATTTTTTAAAATGTTTTTGTTGATTTTGGAGAGAAAGGGAGAGGGAGGGAGAGAGAAACATGAATCAGTTGCCTCCCATACACACCAGGCCAGGGATCGAACCCACAACCTGGGTATGTACCCTGACCTGGAATAGAATCTGTAGCCTTTTGGTATAAGGGATGACGCTCCAAGCAACTGAACCACACCAGTCAGGAAGATGATAATTTTTATTGTATTATTTGTTTATTTTTGTAAGGGAACATTTATTTGGTAAATCACAGAGGCAGAAGCAATTCCTAGAAGATTTGAGCTTAGGACACAATTTATAGAGTTAAAGGACGAGCCCTTGAGCTTGGGAGTGAGGACGGTCATGGTAATGTGCCTGGGGCAGGGAAGGAGGAGGGGGAGGGAAAGGCATGGGCCTTCTCCGTGGAGGGAGAGCTCACGGGGTCTTCCTCAAAGGGCTTTGAAGGTGGAGCTTTTAGGGGAGGTCCTCGGGGAAGACCTTAACAGAATATTGAGCAGTTTTCCAGGCGTACCCTTTCAGGTGGTGGTCTCCACTGATTGATTGGCTGGCACCGGAGCAGGGGGTCATTGTTCAGTGGCTGGTTTTTGTTGCTTCTCTGGGCCTGGAGCTGAAATACAACTGAGGCCTAGATGTTATCTCTAGGGGGGAAAGGTCTGGGGGTCCAAACCACATGACCTTCGATATACTAAGGAAGGAAAGGTCACTCTGGAGATGAGCCCCCCCCCCCCCCCATAATTGATTGCCTGGTGCAGGCACCTGGGGCTTGCCACCCTGGTGACCACCAGTACCTGGCCATTGTCCCTGCTCTGCTCACGTCTGTCTAACTGCCTGCAATATCCCCCTCAGGATCTTGGCGCTGAATTACTTCAGCGAAAGGCGTTCAGGGTCTCCTCTGTAGGTGCTTTCTGCTGAAGGGGTGATGTTTTTCTTCAGAGCCAGGCGATCCTTGCTCGCCGTCAGAGGGGCGATGAGGCCCGGGCAGGGAAGGAGGTGGTGATGGTGTCTAGAGTTGGTATTTCCTGAGAATGAGTAGGGCTTGTGGCCTTGAACAAAGCAAAGACATTATTGTTAGGGTTGGTGAAGGAGGAACACAGGAGGCTGTAAACTAGGTCATCTGGAAAACCAGAAGGGCTGAGCCCCAAAATGGTGCCAGCCAGAAGATTATAATTTTTTAAAAATTAATTTTATAATTAAAATTATAAGCATCTGCTCATTCATTATAAACATCACCTCACCATCTGACTGGCCAGCTCTCATTAGTCACATTCTGATTTCATAAATGCAGAACCAGGAGCTCAGCACTGTGACATAACTTTCCAGGTCACACGTTTGGGAATTGGAACTGTGACTCAGGCCTAGGACTGGACTGCAGGGTCCAGGTTTCTGCCCACCGTCCTCCTGCCTCCCAGTTAGATGACAGTGCCAGCCAGGTGCTTGGTGTAGTGTGGCATAGAGAATGAGCACTTAGTCGGGTGAAAGCCATTATTTCTGGGATGTGACAGTTACGGTTTCTGCATGAGAACCTTTAAGGCATTTGGCAGAAGAGTACCATGTGGCTTTAGGCCCGAGGTTGTGGTTTCTGAACCTTGGTATAAGCCTGAAACTGGAGGTGTTCACCACTAGTCTCAGGTCATACTTGTCCAGGAATCTACACTTTGGGTTCTTTGTTCTCGGTAAATGATGCAAAAATACTTAAGTTTCCTACCTGTTTCTCTTCATCTGGAGAAAGGGCTTTTGTCCTCCCACCCCAGTCAGTAAGGAGCTGTGACAAAGGCAGAAGAGATGCAGTCCCGGAGCTGGCCTGCCTGTGCGGCTGAGCTCCTGCCCTCAGCGGCTGTCATACAAAGCTTCTTCTTGCTCCCAGATAAAACACTGTCTGTGGCGATCGAAGGCAGTGTGGACGAAGCCAAGGCCCTGTTTAAACCTCACGAGGAATCCCAAGGTAATGTGCTGGCCAGATCCTCCCCCGTCTTCTGTAGCTGGCTCCGGGGACACCAAGTCACCACCGGAGGGCAGTGCTGGCCCTTTGGAAGTTAGCTGTGCTGGTTTTGTTTAACAGGGAGCCTGACTATGTTCAGTGGAGGACAGGGAAAGCCGTGCCTGTGGATTTCAGCCCTGCACTCACTAGCTCACTGTTTCCGGGGAAGCACTTTAACCTTTGAGCCTCAGTTTAGTCACCTGTCCAAACAGGATAGTAACACCTCATGTAGAATTATGTGAATTAAACAAGGTTATGCATGCAAAACCTTGCATCATCCTGGGCACATAGCAACCACTCAAATTATATGAGCTGCTATTATTGTTACTTTATTACTATTATTGCTACCACCACCACCACTACCAGTGGAGGGGCATAGGAGAACATCAAAAAACATGTAAAAAAAACTCTAAAAGATGGGTGGTGTGATTACAGGTCATTTTTCTTTGTTGTTGTTTTTTTTAATATATTTTATTGATTTTTTACAGAGTGGAAGGGAGAGGGATAGAGAGTCAGAAACAACGATGAGAGAGAAACATCGATTGGCTGCCTCCTGCACACCCCCTACTGGGGATGTGCCCGTAACCAAGGTACATGCCCTTGACCGGAATCAAACCCGGGATCCTTCAGTCCGCCGGCCGATGCTCTATCCACTGAGCCAAACCGGTCAGGGCCATTTTTCTTTGTTTTCTTGCATCATCATGTTTTCTATACTGAATATGAAGCAGCAAATTAATTTATCCTAAACAAAGCATTTATAAATGACAGAGTCTGGGCCCCTTTCCGCCCTGGGTTGAGGTGCTTTAGGGGGCATCAGGAGCCCCCTCCACTCTATACGCCTTCTCTCTGTGTCTGCAGATGACGAGAGCGACTCGGATGCCGAGGAGGAGCAGACCACGGTGAGAGCCGTTCCCTCTTGTGGGCGTGCCAAGCAGCTGCACCGGGGCCTGCTAGTTGGCAGGTGCCATCCTTCCTAGAAGCAGAAGAAAGGTTTGAAGGAAAGGGCTGCTGGGAGCCTGGCCACTGAATAGCTGAAGCATCAGGTCCCAGGCAGCAGTGCTGAGGCCGTGGCCGGTAGGGAGAAGGCAGGGAGAGATTTTGTACGACCAGTGCTCATCAGGTCCATTCTTTCCTTTGTCCAGAAACGCCGGCGACCCACACTGGGAGTTCAGTTGGATGACAAACGCAAGGAGATGCTGAAGAGGCACCCGCTGTCCGTCATGCTGGACCTGAAGTGCAAAGGTCTGGCTCCCTTGTTCTGGGGGTCCCATAGCACTTAGGAGTTCCGCCAGCTGTAGGGGCACAGGACCCCGCAAGCCAGGGCCTCTTTGCCCAAGAACAGATTCTCATTTCATATTTCTCTGGTTATCTTCGTTGTCAGGGGTACATGGTATCCTTGTGTCTTATTCCTGGTGATGTAAACTTGGGTCCACTTGGTGATCACTTGATCACTTCCTTTTCATACTGTCTTGGTCAGAGGCAGGGTCTGTAAGTCCAACCCTCAAGGGGAGGGAAATGGAGATCCACCTTTCGGAGGGAGAAGTAACAAGGAATTTGTAGACACTCTGCTTTTTTTTTTTTTCTCAACCTTAAATTGCCATTGAGTTTTTGTTTTTATAGTAAAATATCTCAAAGCCTCATGGACGTCCCTTTCTGTAAAACTAATAGCTCTGCTCTCATGTTTCACTCGTGCATCCTTTTCTCTCCCTCCCCGTCCAGATGACAGTGTGCTTCACCTGACGTTCTACTATCTCATGAACCTCAACATCATGACAGTAAAAGCCAGAGTGACAACTGCCACGGAGCTGATCACCCCCATCAGTGCAGGGTAGGAGCAGGCGTGGCGGAGGGGGACAGGGGCTGGGCTGTGACGAGCGCCACGGTGCCGGGCTGCTCTCAGTTTCTCTCTCCTCTGGCTCCGAGAGGTTCCACTGGCCTGGAAGTCCTGGCACGTCATTGGTATTTAGAAAGCACTGACCGACTTGACTTAGTGACGCACTGCTACCAGCAGATGATAAAAGTGACTGTGGCATTCTGCACACCGAGGCGGTGGGGCAGAGGAACAGCTTTTCAGCCAGTGTTGGGAGAGCATGAAATGCCATTTGGCACATTATCAGGTTGACAGCTTTTCTTTTTCCATCGCAAGGTGCTGGGATTTTCACTTTACACTCCGCTCAATCCCAGATTGTCCTTAACCTGGGCAGTGGGAGGAGGACTGTGGTGGGCCCTGCGGGGTTTTTGAAGAAGGTGAGCCTTCAGGTTTTGTCTAGCTCATCCCCTTATTGTACAGATGGATAAACTGAGGTCCAGGGGGCATATGATGGTGGAAGCCCTGGGTCTAGAGCTCCAGACCCCCAGTCCAGAGGCCTTGGCTCCAGTACAGGCTGCTTTGGCCCCTGGAGACACCAGCCTGATAGATGGTTTTATTTCTCTGTCTGTCTTTTTGACCCCCTTGATATGATCACAGTATTTCACCCAGTAGCCAGTCAGAGTGCAGGTATCCCTGGTTTTCTCTAAGTTGTTTTCATTTGGTTTTTACCATTTGGGTTTGACTCAGGGTGTCTGTATGGTCCATATGTTGCAATTGGGTGAAGCTTCTCTCAGGCACCTTTTCATCTGAATGTGTCTGCCATCTTTTGTTGAGAAATTGTGTTTTTTTCTCTGTAGTCTTCCTCCAGAATTAGATTTTGATGATTGCATCCCAACAGTACAGTTTTATGGTTACTCCTTCCTCATGTATTCCATATAAATTGTAGTTAGATCTAGAGGATTGATGAAATTCTATTTTGATTTTTTGGAGGGGACAGAGGGGCAGGACTGTCTCATAGATGTTGAGTGCTGCCATCAGGAGACCTGAGCTGTCTGTCTTTGCAATATTGATGACTTTTGCCAGGATCTGTTAACTCATTAGGGAATTAATGTTTTTAACACAAACATTTTAATCAGAATTATACTAGCCTTGCTGAATTTTCCTCAAATTATTTTCCAGAATAATCTCCATTGGGGCATTTTAATCCATTAATTTTTCATTAAGCTATTAAACTATTTTTATTCATTTTCCATTTTTATTTTACCAAGGTTTTTTAAATCCCTTTTCCATTAAAATTTTATAACAAAGATTTGACTAATTGAATAGCTTTTTGTTTCGATGTTGTATTTTTATGACTATAGCTTCCCCTTTCATGTCTGTTGTTTTTATCAAAGTCAGACGTCTTGAGACATATATTACAGATGTAAGTTTTGTCAAGGAGATTTTATTCTCCCCAGCCAGCGTGGCTCCATTGTTGAGCATAGATCCTGAACCAAGAGGTCACCTAGTCGATTCCCAGTCAGGGCACATGCCCAGGTTGCAGGCTCAATCCCCAGTAGGGGGCATGCAGGAGGCAGCCAATCAATGAGTCTCTCTCCCTCTCCCTCTCCCTTCCTCTCTCTCTAAAATCAATAAAAACTTTAAAAAATTATTTTTTTATTCTTCCATCAAGATTTGTCAATTAGAAACCCTTATGTGCAGTTGTAGCTGTTTTGTTTTATTTTGGTTGATTCATTCTGTTAGTAATAGCCACTAAATATTGGCCAAGGACTGGCAATTCTTATTTATTTTCTAGCCAGTTTTCCATGCGAGGCAGTGAAAGGGGCAGACCCTTGCTAGGGGATAGTGGAGACAGATTCTGGGAGAGACGGAGAACAGAGAACAGAGAAGAGCCAAAAGCTGCCAGTGCCGCAGTATTAAGTCCCGAAGTGATTTTGGGGGCTCAGGGCAGCAGGATTAGCTCTTTTGCCTGAGTTGCTCCTGATGCTATTCCTGAAAAAATGGAGACCGCTATACTGGTTGAGGGAAAGAGTGGGCCCTGTTGTCCTTTGTGATCAGATTACTCTATTATTATGCTCCCCCCAATTCTCTTCTCTGCTTGTCACACTTAATTACGGGCTGTGCCCTAGCCATTCCAGTTGGGTGGCAGTGGTGTCATTGTCTTTCTGTTTATAGTACTGGGCCACCTTGTCTCCAGTGCAGGCAATAATGTCTTTTTCTTCGAATACAAAGGGGTCATTTTCTTGTGAGTAGTGTGAAATTTGGTCAAAGTGTGATAGACACAGCACCAAAGTTGCACACTTCCTTTCTGGGGTAGAAAGGGATCTTTCTGCTTCTATAAAAATTATGATTATTTCTGCCGAAACCGGTTTGGCTCAGTGGATAGAGCGTCGGCCTGCGGGCTGAAAGGTCCCAGGTTCGATTCCGGTCAAGGGCATGTACCTGGGTTGCGGGCGCATCCCCAGTGGGAGATGTGCAGGAGGCAGCTGATCGATGTTTCTCTCTCATCGATGTTTCTAACTCTCTATCTCTCTCTCCCTTCCTCTCTGTAAAAAATCATTAAAATATATTAAAAAAAAAAAATTATGATTATTTCTATTTCCAGTGTCATGGGGCTTTGCTCCCCTTAGGTAAGGCCCTGATCACCATATAACTTTGAAGGGATAGGGGTTTTTTGTTTGTTTGTTTTCTTATTGCTTTTAGAGGGAGGGGAAAGGAGAGAGATAGAGAGATGGAAACATTGATGAGAAAAGACCTCATCGATCAGCTGCCTCCTGCATGCCCCCTACTGGGGATGGACCCCGAAATCCAGGCATGTGCCCTGATGACTGAGAATCAAACCAGCGACCTTCTGGTTCTTGGATCTACACTCAACCACTGAGCCACACTGGCCAGATGGATAGTTTTTTGTTGTTGTTTTTTGGTGGGTAAGAGTACTACTGTCTTTTTAAAAAATATATATTCTTATTGATTTCAGAGAGGAAGGAAGAGGGAGAGAGCGACAGAAACATCAAGGATGAGAGAGAATCATTGATCAGTTGCCTCCTGCACACCCCCTACTGGGGATCGAGCCCGCAACCCGGGCATGTGCCCTTGACTGGAATCGAACCTGGGACCCTTCAGTCCACAGGCTGACGCTCTCTCCACTGAGCCAAATCAGTTAGGGCAGTACTACTAACTTTTTTTTACTGTAAATCTCAGCTCCAGCACTAACTAGCAGCATGATTTTGGACAAGCCATACCTTTCAAAGCCTTGAGTTTCTCCTCTATAAAATGGAAATGATAATACTCTGTACCTCATAGGGTTATGAAGATCCAATGACCTCAAGTGTATAAAGCGTCTGACTCACAGGAAGCATTCCATGAACGGTGGCATTGATCATCAATGTGAAGTGGCATGACCACCCCCGAATGTCCAAGTCTGCCTGGAGACAAGATGTTGGGCCGCATTCTCACTGCAGTCTGCTCCCTTTCCAGTGACTTGCTGTCTCCTGACTCAGTCCTGAGCTGTTTGTATCCTGGGGATCATGGAAAGAAAACGCCGAATCCAGCCAATCAGTACCAGTTTGATAAAGTGGGGTGAGTCAGCAGTATTTCCTCCTTTCTCAGCTTCTCTGCTTCTGAGTTTCTCTGGTGGCTCAAGCTTAATGCAGGAGACCTGGTCGGGCCAGAGCCTCTCGGGGGGTAGGGAGACCGTGGGGCAGGGGAGAACGCTCTATTGAGAGAAGGGAACACAGGAACACGTTTGCTTATGAGGCAAACGGCGGTCATGGATGGATGGGTGGGTGGAGAACGTGATAAGAACACATGACATAATAAAAAATGTTGACCATTTTAATTCTCTGAGGATTAAAAACATTTTAAACTATTTTATGAATTGGTAAACTGGTCAGGAGAACGATCATGTGCACTGCTTTTTTATTGAGATTTGCTGATTAGTTGAGGACTGTCAGGGGAAAAGAGAAAAGTGAACATGGGAGAGATGAAATCTACAATGGGGAACTGCTCAAGTCAAGAGGCACTGTGGTAGCCTGGCTGTAAGCATGGCTGAGCCTGCGGGGCCCACCTGTTGGGGGTGATTGGGAGGAAGACTATATCCTGGGACCATTGCAAAAAGGACTTATAAAATTATTTTCCTCTTTTATGCAGCATCCTGACTTTGAGAGACTACGTGCTTGATTTAGGACACCCCTACTTGTGGGTACAGAAGCTGGGTGGCCTCCACTTCCCTAAAGAGCAGCCCCAGGTGTGTACACTGATCCCATCTCCTTAGCTGGAGAGCTCTACCTCCTCTCTACCCATACAGACTCCAGAAAGGCTTCTGGTGGCTTTTGGGGGCTTTACACTAGCAGAATGCATTCCCTTAAGGATATGATCTGTCCTCCCTCCACTCAGCACACTAAAATGCCCAAGGCCTACAAGTGTTTAGGTACCTTTGCCTTCTCCCTGAGTCTAGAAACCCTCTAGATCAAAGTAACTTGGGTCCTTGCTCTGGGTGCAGCACAACTGAAGGACAGCGTCTGGCCTGTCACAGCAGGTAAACCCTGCCTTTCCCCGTCAGGTGCCCACCTCAGGGCATGGGTGAGCTCAGCTGCCACAGGCAGGCAGGGCCTAGGAGAGAGGCGGTGCCTGGAGGAAGGGACGAGCACTCAGGTGTGCCCCTTGCTGTCATCCACAGCCCACAGTGATCGCTGACCACTCGCTGAGCTCTAGCCACATGGAGACCACCATGAAACTGCTAAAGACCAGAGTGCAGTCCCGCCTGGCCCTCCACAAACAGTTCGCGTCCCTGGGTAAGCTGGCGTTGGGGCTGTGGCTTGAGAGCCATTCATTCAACACAGGGACAAAAAAAACCTAGCTCTTCATTCAGATGTCTGGAATCCTGACAACAAATGAAAGAGGGCTGGATTTCGGGCTCTTCCTGAGCTGCGGTGTTGACAGGGCGGCTGGAGAGAGCTGCAGGCCATCCAAGCACAGATCTGAGCTCCCCCAGGGTCATCAGGGCTGTTCGGATTCACAGAGGGGCCCGGAGCCTTCTGGTGGCACAAGTTGGTCGGGGGCAGCTCATCCTAAGTTAGCGGATGTCCGACTTCGGTGTGCATCCTACAGATATTTAGTGGGAGTCCAGGTCATGATTCATGGAGCCCACCTTCAGCTTCTTTGAACACAGCTGTACAGGGATCCACTCCTCATCCCTCCCTGAGACCTACTGAGCTAACACCCTCCAGGGTAAGACTGAGCCCCTCTTTTTCATAAGCTCCCAGGTGATTCTGCTGAGCCATTGACCACAGTGGTGGCCATATGGGGCTTCTTTTCATTTATTCATTCAGTAAATACTTGTCAAGGGCTTACTACGTACAAGGCACTTGCAAGATAGTGAGGGTTAAAATCTTTCTGATGCAAGAGGGATGTCAGGAAAGACATTGGGTTTTCAGAACCATCGGGAGACCCTACCCCTCTGGTTTGGTCTTGTGCTCCACGTGGACCCTGGTCTCTCCAGGGCAGCGTTGCTCATCCGTCAGGCCTTTCTCCCATCAGCATTGCTGCATTTGTTTCGTCTCAAGGTTGGATGATTGTCATCCTGGGCAGTGTTTACTGTGTTGGCATATTTGCTTATTGAAATGCCAGCAGGAATTCACGCTGGAACAGTTCTCCAGCCTTTCTCCCCTAGAGGAGCTGACACAGAACACTTCAGTCTTTTCCTCCATCAAGGTCAGCTATGGAAACAGCCCTCTCGGCGATTCGATCTAATTAACCGTCACTGCTGCAGCGGCACTGTCATTGGTTTTGGCTGGAGGCTCTTGTTTTGCTGTCATTTGTATTAAGGATAAAGCACCGTGAATGCTGCTACTGGGTCTGGCCACAAGCACGTAGCCCTGGGTGAAGTCAGGTTGATGTGCCTGCATTCCTGGCACGTGTTGACCTGGGCACCTACTGAGTGCCAGGTGTACCTAGACATCTGGCAGGGCCATCTGAGTCCTCTAGAGGATGCTGGTTACCTGGCTGTGGCACCTGATTTCTACCTGTGACCCCACCTGTCTTGCTTTCTTTTAGAACATGGCATTGTACCAGTTACTAGCGATTGCCACTACCTCTTCCCTGCAAAGGTTGTCTCTCGCCTGGTGAAGTGGGTGACGATTGCCCATGAGGATTATGTGGTAGGTAGAGGAGTGACAGGTCATCGTTGCTGTCCTGGGGACCGTAGGCCGATGTCTCCACCAGGCGGGCAGGAGGTTTTAAAGGAGCCAGCCGTTCATTCCTTGTCCCTGGTGACTTCTAGGAGCTGCATTTCACCAAGGACATTGTGGAGGCAGGACTGGCTGGGGACACCAATCTCTACTACATGGCACTCGTGGAAAGGGGCACAGGTAATTTGTTCTGCTCATAACAGTGGTTCTAGGCAAGGGGAGTGTCTGAGAATAAAACATTCCTGGAAATTGCCCAAAGAAAGCGAAAGATCTGGAATCCTGCTGCAGGACTTAGCAAATAGTAATGAATGTGACAGCCACCGTTAGATGAGTACTTTATCTCATTTAATCCTCATGACTGTCCTAGGGATGGTAATATTCTCATTTTATAGGTGAAGATGTTAAGACTTAGTCATAAACCCAGTCTGACCTCTGACCCTGAGCTCTTGGCTTTATTGCTCACTAGAATCGGACACCTGTTCCTACCCGTCATCCCAGAAGGACTGGCGTGTCTGAGGTTGTGAGGTGCGGGGCGGCAGGACCTTCCTCCCTGTCTGCAGTTTCTGCGCTCATTGGAGGCATCAAAACTGTGATTCCTCACAGGTGTCCTGGCATCTGATTCGCCAGGGCTTCCTCCTTGAGCCACCCGATACTCCTGTGATGCTGTCGCCCGGCCTCCGCCTCGGCAGGCCTGGCTCGGACACAGGATCTGATCCCCGGGGCTTGGTGCTGTGGCCACAGGGTCGGGGGACTTGTTGGTAGTTTTTTCTTCCCTTCTCTTTTTCTTCGTGTGTTTTTAAAAATATTCTGAGGAAATTAAGTATTTCAGATACAGTGAGGCTCTCAATCCCACTTTATGCTCTCCTCATGGTAGGGGACTACTATTTAGAATTTGTGCATTTGCTGCTGCTTTTTTTTTTTCTTTAGAGAGAGAGAGAAACATCAATTTGTTGTTCCACTTATCTATTCACTCATTGGTGGGCTGCTGTTTATGCCCTGACCAGGGATTGAACCCTCACCTTGGTGTATTGGACGATGCTCTAGCCAACTGAGCTACCCAGCCAGGGCTTTGCATTTGCTTTTCGTCCTCTCCTCTTTTAAAATATACTTTTACCTCATCTCTATGCAGCCCAAAAATTTATGAAGCCCCAAGGGTAGAAAGTCATTGGAAGACATTACTTCTGCTTCCTGGTTGAGCAGATGAAGGCTTGGAATCATAATAAGTATTCTAGATTCATACATAAAATGAATGAAAATTAAAATTTTCATTAGCTGTATTGAAGAATTTGAAAAATTAAGTTTGAAATTTAAATGAATAAGTGGGCAACAAACCCAAGTACATATATATAATCCTTAAGTCATACAACAGATCGGTTTGAAAAGTTTACGTAATATAGATCAAAAAGTTGTTGAATAGAGTTCAATCCAGAAATATATTCAGACTACTGTGACAGAGGCAACACAACAGTAAAGAAAGGAATCACTTTTTTTTTTTAAATATATTTTATTGATTTTTTTACAGGGAGGAAGGGAGAGGAATAGAGAGTTAGAAACATCGATGAGAGAGAAACATCGACCAGCTGCCTCTTGCACACCAGCTGTGCAGACTCTGGGGAGTCCACACCCCTCTGCCTCCTTAGAGGGACCAGAGTCACAGGCATCACGTCCACAACCTGGCAGTTCCACTTCGGAGATTCCAGAACAAACAAAAGTCATTTAGTACCAGGATGTGCTCTGGAGCACTCGAATGAATAAGGGACCTCAGAGCTAGCCTTAGGGGGCCGCTGGGGACGGTGCATGGCTGCCAGTCTGGGTCACAGCTGATTTTCCTCCTTTCCCTTCCCAGCCAAACTCCAGGCAGCTGTGGTGCTGAACCCCGGCTACTCCTCCATCCCACCCATTTTCCAGCTCTGTCTGAACTGGAAAGGGGAGAAAACCAACAGCAATGATGACAATATTCGGGTAAGGCCCTGCTGGGGTGACAAGAGGAGCAGGAGGAGCCTCTCTGGGGAGCTAAGGGCTGGGACATGGGCGTAATTCCTAGGACAGAGGAGCCCACCAGGATTTAGTGACTATATTGGAGGCTGCATGCTGTAATGGAAGGAACCTAGACCCATCTCAACCAGTTACCTAGTTTGAGGTCCACAGGTTTCACCCCACTTACAAATTAGGGAAAATATAAATACCTGCCTTGAAAGGTGGTTGTCATGGGCTTCTGTGCAAATGTGAGCTAACTCAGAAGCATAGGATTGCTGGAATGAGATGAGTATGAGATCATTGCAGCTGTTAATTATTATTTTTTAAAATATATTTTATTGATTTTTTTTACAGAGAGGAAGGGAGAGGAATAGAGTGTTAGAAACATCAGTGAGAGAGAAACATTGATCAGCTGCCTCCTGCACACCCCCTACTGGGGATGTGCCCGCAACCAAGGTACATGCCCTTGACCGGAATCGAACCCGGGACCTTTCAGTCCGCAGGCTGACGCTTTATCCACTGAGCCTAACTGGTTAGGGCTCTGTTAATCATTATTATGCCTGATGACTTGATTTCGTGGTGGCCTTAAGGCTGTGGAGCATGTGTTTAACCCTAACACCTTCTGACTTGGATCTCAGCTTGAGATTCCTTCTCTACACACCTCCGTCCTCTTGGCTGTGGTTGTGCAAGGCAGGGAAAGCTATGGGTCAGAATCAGGAAGACCGCATGATTTGAGGAGGGGGAGCCTTAGGATAATCCAGTCCGGCTTGATGTGGTGTGCGCTAGCTCCTGCACAGGCCCAGCTGCCGTTCTGTGGAGCTGTCAGACCCAGCAGTCTGAAGGTTGTGCTGAGTGTCCGGACTTTCCACTCTGTAGGCCATGGAGAGCGAGGTCAACGTGTGCTACAAGGAGCTGTGTGGGCCCCGGCCCGGCCATCAGCTCTTGACCAACCAGCTGCAGCGCCTGTGCGTCCTGCTGGACGTCTACCTGGAAACTGAGATCCACGATGACAGCGTGGAGGGGCCCAAGGAGTTTCCCCAGGAGAAGATGTGTCTGCGGCTTTTCAGGTGAGGGGAGGGGTCAGAGTGCCAGGGACCTCCAGTCCTGCCTCTCACGGGGATTTGGGGCAGAGATCAGAGCCTGGCATAGAGGACATACCTGTTCCCAGGTGCACTGATCTCTGTTCACAGAGGAATTTAAAGTCCTGCTGCCGAATTTCCTGGGGAGAGCTTGCTGCCTCCTTCCTGAAACTTCCTGCAGCCTCGCTTACCAGCCTGGCCCAATTGTTCTTCACAAGCACCCTCTGAGGGGGGACTCCCCCTCCCACCCACCCCCCACCACCACGTGAGCAGCACTGAGCCATGAACCAAGAGGATTTGGCTGAATTTTACTTTCCATGCTTTCTGTACTGTCCAGATCAGCCTCTTATCTATACCACCTCCACCAGGCCTGCTGTGCTCTTCCTAAGGCGTTCACACGTCTTTGAGAATCACAGCTTTAGGCCGTCGGCTTCCCATCAGGAGCCAGCCTGAAGAAAGACAAACACAAGTACAGATCTCTGCTCTGCTGCTCACCTTGGAAGAATCACTTCAGCTCAGCCCTGAGTCTATTTCCTAAAGGCTGAAGGAAATATAACCTTCAGGCTCATGATAAATTAGCTCTAATTTACGTGAAATTTCCAGCATGGTTCCCAGCATAGACCGGGGCTCACAAAATGCCAACAGGTCCTGACAGCTCGGTATTTAGCATGTCTGCTTTCCTAGCACTTCTAAGTACTTTTCCTGTCGCTTTGGGGTCCTCTCTCGCTTTCGTCCCCTCACTCATATTCTTAGAGTGCATTCCAGAACTCCTGAGTTCATATTGCTCAGGCAACCCTTCTGTTCAGGGCAAGGGCTTGGAGAGGAATGGTGTCTGGGAACGGGAAGGGCTAGAATCTGTTTCTAATCAGGACATCCCCCTGTTCCCTATCAGTCTAGGGCAGCCGTGGGCAAACTACGGCCCACGGGCTAGATCCCGCTGGTTTGAAATGAACTAAAAAAAAAAAAGACCGTACCCTTTTATGTAATGATGTTTACTTTGAATTTATATTAGTTCACACAAACACTCCATCCATGCTTTTGTTCCGGCCCTCCGGTCCAGTTTAAGAACCCATTGTGGCCCTCCAGTCAAAAAGTTTGCCCACCCCTGGTCTAGGAGGTGCCTTATCTGCCTCTCACCTCCTCAGGCAGCCAGTCCCAGCCTGGGGAACATGTCCCCAGCATCCTCCCTGCTGTGTCTGGCACCTCCGCCTGGGTGATTTGTGGTGCTATCTGATAATAACCAGCTCTAACCCCCAGTGGCTGCTGGGAGGTGGTGCTGGTGCTGGATGTTGGTGCCTTCTAGGACTTGCTCTCCCTCGTGGGTCTGTGTGAGACCTCAGCTCTTCCCACCCTCCCAGCCTGCTGTAGCACATTCCTAGGGTGGGATCTCTCACATGGCCAGTGTTTCTTTTCTGTTATCTAATGGTTCCCCAGGGACCCCTTTTCTGAAGTGCTTTGTATGTCACCCACGCTGAGCTCTGTGAGGGCATTGGAAGGTGCAGCTTTGGCCACTCAGATCTAATTAACTCCATGACTGGTGAGGTGTGAGGTTCTTGACCTAAAGTCCTGACCCTTGGGATCAAGCCAGGAAGCTGAACTTTTCTTTTTTTTTAATGCAACAAGTTTATTTAGCATAGCCAGTCCCAACATTCAGCACAAAAAGTTTACAGAGGCTGGTGGGTACCTTCAGGCTGTGGGTTCTCCATCAGACGTATTCTTAGACTTGCCCAAACGACAGTGCCTTCTGGTGTTGGGAGGTATATGACCTCATGGTTACGAGCAAAAGCTTTGGGGCCAGAAAGACCTAGGTTCAAATTGCTGCTCCTACCTGTGTGATTAGGGTCTATACTTAGTCTCTTTGAGCCTCAGATTCCTTGCTGGTAAAAACAGCATTCACTTCAGGTATGGTTGGGAGGGTGAAATTACACCAGATGGAGCATATGAAGTGCCAAGCACAGTGCAGGCAGAATAAACCCACAGTTAGGTACGTGGTTTTCCTGGTGTGGGAATTAAAACCTTTTTTCTCTGTATCTGCAATCGCACACGCGCTCGTGCGTGCCCACACACTCCCTCCTACCTTCCTTTACTCAGACCAAGATCCAGGGTGTTACCTAGTGGTTACTACTGAATGTCAGTCATAGGTAGATGAATAAAGGAGGCCCTTCACCTGGACATCAGTTACTGGGGAGCTGTGTGGAAGGGGACCCTGTGTGAAGCTCTGCTTGGGGGCCCGGGATGATAGCTGAAGCACCTAAGCTTCATGAGGTCAAGGCTTGGTGTCAGACCTGGTCTTGGGCTCTGCCACCTTCTGACCGTATAATGCTGGGCAGATAGTTTAACTCCTTGAGACTGTTTCTCCATCTGTAAAACTTACAAAATTACAGCAACAGCATCTAACTTTGCAGATTCTTTTCACCCCGACTTCAGAGTCCTACCTCCCTCCTGCATGGGACTCTCCTTGCAAAAGAGGTTTTTAAGTTTTTTTCCTTTATTTTTTTAAATTATAGAACTAAACCATGTTTATTGTTAAACATAGAAACAACAATCAACAGTTGTTAAATATATTAGAAAGTGAGGGTGCCCACATCCTCTCCCCAGAAGTGCCCATTGTTAGTGAGGGCCCTTCCAGGCCTGTGTTCATGCATTTGCAAGCATATAGACATTTTTACAAAAATGGTATCACACCTTACATATTGTTCTGCAGTCTGCTTTTCTCACACGTTTATTTTTCCCCCTAACAGCTGTACAGTATTGTGCGGGTAACCATAATTTCTTCCGTCCCCCTTCTGTTCCTCTAGGGGTCCCAGCAGGATGAAGCCGTTTAAATATAACCATCCTCAGGGATTCTTCAGCCATCGCTGACCTGCTCGGCCTGTGGTTCCCCTGGGCCCTCGGTGCTGTGCCTCCGCTTCCTCTTCTGTCCACATGTGGCTCCTGATAGTCTCCAAAGGCAGGTTTTATATTTCCAGCCAATTAAAGTGTCATCTGACCAAGTGGCCTTTGTCTGGTGGCTCTTTGGGAGGAGGGGTGGCTTTGCAGTCTGTAAGGGCCAGTAGGAGCCACAGCACGGTGTGAAAGAGCATTTGAGGGTAGACTTTCTCAGGGTGGCCAACCCCACCTTACTTGTTTCTGCTTTGGGCAGTCCTCATTATCTAGGTCAGGCATGTCAAACTCAAGGCTAACATCGGCCAAGTAAACGAGGCATGGGGCCTACGGGCCGTGAGTTTGACATGCTTAATCTAGGTATTTATTATCCTGAGTCCGTGCTATTAGGAGGTGGCAGGGGAAACCAAATCAGCGTAGCACAAAACCCAAAGCTCTTCTTTCCCCTCCCTCGTCTCTCCACTGGACCTGTCGTGTCGGTGTCTCTCATGGCCACATACTCTGATCGTTGCATGTCATGAACGTCTGGCAGTGCAGTGCACATAGGAGACAAATACATCACAAAGAATAATTGTAAATCGTGCAGGATTTGGTGAAGTCGATGAGTGATTTTGGAGACTCACATGCAGAGCTACCACCCAGTGAGGCTCTGGCAGAGTGGGGCCAGGTGGCATCTGAGAATCTTCATGATGAAGACAGGCTGAGTGCCTCCAAAAATAATGATTTGACTCTCAAAGGATTAAGAGAAGTCCTGGGAAAATAGGTAACACCTTCTAAAACGTTTGCAAAATTACCTCCTTGTAATCCTGCAAAAGTCGAATGAAGTGAAGGGTGGCATTAAGTGTTCTTGGGCAGGTTCATCTGAAAAATTATACTCCTCCAAATCAGTACCCTGTTCATTTTTTAATCATTTTAACAAGTCAGATATAAAGATGTAAAAATATATAAGAATTATTACCTAGTTGCAAGTATCATCTAAAGTTTGCTAGCTACAAGATGAGATAAGTTTCTTTCAGCTTTATTGAGATATAATTGACATAATAATGTGTAAGTTTCAGGTGTACAACTTGATTTTTTGTATATTGCACAATGATCACCAGAATAAGTTTTGTGTATGTGTTAAGAACTTTTAAGATTTACTCTTAGCAACTTCCAAAAATGTAAATTTTATTTATGTGATAGTCCCAATCAGATATGTTTTTTTCTCCCACAACATACTTTTAAGTTTGGTCCCAATGTACGTGTACTCACTTTTAGTGGACTTGTACTAACTATCCTTGGATAACACGGACCTCTGGTATAAAAGCTGTTATTCTCCTGTCCTCTCAGCTGATCGCTGAGTACCCAGAGACAAGGATTTCTTTTTTTTTTCTTTAATATATTTTATTGATTTTTTTACAGAGAGGGATAGAGAGTTAGAAACATTGGTGAGAAAGAAACATCCATTAGCTGCTTCCTGCACACTCCCTACTGGGTATGTCCCCACAACCAAGGTACATGCCCTTGACCAGAATTGAACCTGGGATCCTTGAGTCCGCTCCATCCACTGAGCCAAACCGGTTAGGGCGACAAGGATTCCTTGAGGAAGAACTGGGAGACTCCTAGCCCTGCCAGGGCCCTTCATTTTATAGATGGAACCCCGAGCCCGAGCCCAGTGAGGTGAGGAGAGGAGAAGGGCACCTCCCGTGGCTCTTAAATAACCTCCACTACCTGTGCCTCGCCTTCCCCTCATCCGACATCATCCCTTTGAATTCCAGAGGTGCATACTCTCCAACCCAGGGGTCCTTGAACTTCAACATGTAGGAGCCACCTATCCCAGGAGCCAGCTAGAACTGCAGTTTCCCGTGCCCCACTCGAATAGGACACAGTTAACCCAAGATGGGCTTGAGGAGTGTATTTTTAACGAGCTCCCCAGGTGCACATTGCCTTGTCTCTGGAAGTTACTGTTACATCATTTGTATTGGTGACGCCTCAAATAATGCAGAAGGACCCCTTTCGCTGTGAGCAGCTCCCCTTCTGTCTGCACCTCGGGCAGCGGTATGAGCTCTGGTTGCTTCTTCCTCTCCACAGAATGCGTTCTCCTTATCTTTTCTCTGACCTACTTGCCTGGGACTCTCCCTGCCAGCATCCCCTTGGTCTGGCCACCTTCAGGCCTTGCATCTCACCGCCTGTGCTGAATAAGATTGAAATGGGGCCTAAAAATAGTTCCTTTAATGGCCTCTGCATTGCAGTCTCCACTGCATCCTTGGCTGGAAGGCAGCCAAACTGACTCAGCACAAAAGCTTGTCTCTGGTAACTGGTAGCCGGGACAAGGTTGCAAACAGCTCGTGAAGGCTGGAGGAGGCTTGGTTTCCTGGGCAGGGATGTCAGCCTGTCATCCTCCAGAAGAGAGTTTTTCTTCCTCGGAGGAGAAGGCTGAACAAAAGGATCCTTTGGCTTTAAGGAGAGGGTTTTAAAACCAGTGAGAAGCCCAGGACAATCCAGCCCCTTTGAGCTGCCTAACTGAACCATTTGTGCCTTGGTTGGGCAGACTAGGGGGAGGGGCTTGACTTGTTCCTCCCCAGCCAGAATTGGCCTTCCCTTCCCTGGGACACATCCCAGACTCCAGGCCCTTTCTGGCGTTCTGTACCTGGGAGGGATCGGCCCAGGTTCCTTACCTTTTTAAAGCTGCCAGCCATGTTCCTGATTTCTTATCTTCTAGTCTCTCCATTGTGTTCTTCCCAGCTTGCCCTTTCCTAACTTTACAAATAAATCCAAAGACCCCTTTTATCCACACCAGCCCAATGAGAGCCAACCCCCGGGCTTTTCCCAGAATATTGAACAGTTCCCCGCCCCCTCTCCCGCCCCCCCAGGTTTGCTAACCTGGTGGAATGTAAGCCTGAAGCTTGAGACCACATGGAGAGGTCCTGCCTGAGAATGAAGCCTACAGGAAAGCAGCAAGAGATGGCCAAGTGAGTGGACAGCATCTTGGAGAACAATCATTTGAGATTTCCCCCGGATCTAACTATATCTGAAGCAATTCAAACTTATTGAACTGCTTGGTTATGTAAAATAATATATTTTTTATTATCAATTATTAGTAGCAGTAGTATTTTGCTTAAGCTAGTTTAGCTCTGTTTTGACTGCTTGTAACAGAAACAATGCTGATGGGCCCACCTGGTGTGCCTACTGGTTGAACATTGAGCCAGGAACCAGGAGGTCACGGTTTGATTCCCGGTCAGGGCATGTGCCAGGTTGTGGGCTCAATCCCAGGTTCGGGGTGTGCAAGAGGCAGCCAGTCAATGATTCCCTCATCATTGATGTTTCTATCTCTCCTCCCCTCCTCTCTGAAATCAATGAAATATATTTAAAAATGAATGATGTTTTGGTCCCTATTTCTTTGGTTACAATCTGTTGCTAATAATGCACAGAGGTCTTTGCCTCCTCCCCCCAACCCCTATCTTCAGGGGTTAGGCTCTGGTATTTATCTCTGTGTTTTTAATCATGTAATCTCTTGATATGTCAATTTAAAAAACTTTATTTTTGAAATAATTTTTAACTTACTGAAAAGTTGCAAAGATAGAACTTATAGGGAGTTCCTGGATACCCTCACTCAGCTCCCTCTAATGTTAACATCTTACACGTTCATGGTACATGTGTCACAACTAAGAGATTAATGTTGGTACATTACTATTACGTGAACTACAGACTAATGGCTGTCCACTAGTTTCTCTACTAGTGTTCTGGGATCCAGGACACCACACTGCATTGAGTCATCATGTCTCCTCAGTCTCTAGTCTGTGATAGCAATCCATAATAGTGCTTAAGACTATAGGTTACATCACCTGTAATATCCTGAAGTGGCTAAGAAGCATCTGGTTGGGGCAGGGAAAGAAGCAACTCCCAGAACAAGGGTTAATGACAGATCTAAAGTTGGAATCAAGCCTTTGTATAAAGCTCCCAGATGATGCCAATGTAGGTGATCCATAAGCCATGCACCAGGCCACCTGTCTGTAAGATCATAAAAATAAAGCATCTCGAACACTGCCTGGCACATGGTTTGTGCTCAGGAAAAAATACAAGAGAGGCCATGTAACTGGTCCCAGAATCTCGAGACCCCTGATGCTTGCTCAGTCCTGTGTCGTCTTGTGACATCCAAACCTCCCTTGGTTCTGTCCCCTGGCCTGCGAGGGAAGGAATAGATAACAGCAGCAGCTCATTTCATAAGCACTTGTTTTTATTGCACAGAAGCAATTGAAAGTGGTCTCCGGTGGAAAAGTGCGCCCTGGCATGGTTCAGTGCCCAGCCTCACCCACTCGGGCTCTTCCAGGGGAGCGAGCTCTGGGCAAGGGCCTGACCACTCCTTTGGAAAACAGAAGGCATTTGGGAATAGGTTAAGACATCTCAAGCATAATGTGTTTCTAACTGCTCATTCATTACTGCGGTCATCTGTCAGTTGCACATACAGGAAATAAATGCACTTATTTGGAAAGGAGGGGGGCAGTTTTTACAGTCAAGTGTTTAGTGTGGCATTCGGCATATATCACATTCCGCTACATAAGCTATCATAACATAATGGTCCATCGCCTGGGGAGGGCTCGGGGTACGGGGGCAGGGTGGGGAGTGCCCTTCCTTGGTAACATATTGCTAACAACGTCTTGTTTGGTGAGGGAGAGCCCCACCAGCTAAGCAGTTTCTTCTATAAAGAGAAGGGAGAAAAAAATGAAAATTGATTATGCCGACCCTCGGACTCCCAGACCCTCCTGAGTTTCTTTGGATGCTCCGGATGCTCCTGTCTCCCTCTTTACTTCTCCCCCTGGGCGGCCTTGTCTCCTGTGGCCTTCTCTGGAGGCCTGCTGTCTTTGTGGTCTGTGCTAGAGGACTTCTCAGCCTTTTCCGTCTTGGCTTTGCTGGGTGCGGGGGCCTCCTTGCTGGGCTCTTCCTTGGCTCGGGCCTCCGGTTTGGGTTTCTCCTCCGGCTTCTTGGCCTCTGTGGCCTTCTCCTCCTTGGCATCTTTTTTGTCGGGTGCTGCCGACGTCTCTTCCTTCTTTGGCTTTTCTGGCCCCTTCTCCGCTGCTTTGCTGGGTCCTTTGGCCGTGGCATCACCTGGTTCCTTCTTGTCCACCTCGGTCTTCTCTTTGGCTTTCGCCTCTTCCTTCTCCTTGGCAGGAGCCTCCTTCTCTGGAGTCGCTGCTTTTTTCTTACCCTCAGCCTCTTCCTTCTTGGCTTCAGCTACGGATTCTTTGGGCTTCTCCTGGACCTCGGGCTTGGGAGCCTCCTTCTTGGGCACCTCATCTTTCTTGCTATCCTTCTCAGTTTTGGGCGTGGCTGGAGCTTTCTCTTCCTCTCCCTTCTTTGGTGGCTCTTTGACTTTCACCTCCTGGGGTTTCTCGTCTTCCTTCATGGGGGACTTCGCCTCTTCCTTCTTTGAGACCTTCTCAGGAGCCTTGGCCTCCTCCTTCACGGGAGACTTGACCTTCTCCGGGGACTTGACCTCCTCCTTGCTAGGACTTTTGGGCTTTAGGGGTGATTTGATGTCTGCGGGGGACCTTACTTCCTCCTTCACTGGGGTCTTGGCTCCTGGGGACTTCACATCAAGAGTCTTGGCCTTCTCGGGGGACTTAGCTTCTTCCTTCGTCGGAGACCTGGCCTTTTCAGGGGACTTGACCTCAGATGGCGATTTTGCTTCTTCCTTCACTGGGGACTTGGCCTTCTCTGGGGACTTGACCTCAGTTGGGGACTTGGCTTCCTCCTTTGCTGGGGACTTGGCCTTCTCTGGGGACTTGACCTCATCTGGGGACTTGGCTTCCTCCTTTGCTGGGGACTTGGCCTTCTCTGGGGACTTGACCTCATCTGGGGACTTGGCTTCCTCCTTTGCTGGGGACTTAGCCTCTTCCTTAACTGGGGACTTGGCCTGCTCAGGGGACTTTACCTCAGCTGGCGATTTTGCTTCTTCTTTCATGGGGGTCTTGGCTGGTGACTTGGCCTCTTCCTGCTCTGGAGACTTGGCCTCCTTCTCTGGGGATGCAGCCTCTTCTGCTGGGGGAGACTTTGTTGCTTCTTCTCCCCCCTCTGCTTCCTCCTCCTCTCCCCGTTCCTCCTCCTCGCCCTCCTCCTCTTTGGTCTCTTTCTCCTCTTCCTCAGTCACTTCTTCGGTCACTTGTATCTCCTCTGTCTGTTCCTCCACGATCACGGTTTCCTTCTCTGACTTTTCTACCACCCTGATCTTCTCTTCACTTTTGACCTTTATGTGAGTGGCCGTGGAAGGCATTTTAGGGAGTCCCTCTGGAAGGGAGAAGGGACTCGGGCCAAAGCCAATCCGACACTCTTCACCCTCCAGGAGTTTTCTGCAGAATGGATAACGGAACACGTTACTATGAACTCAAAGCAGGTCAATAACTTGGGGGTCTTCCTGGTTTCCTCTGAAGGTCCATAGAGTCCAATGATGGGGACTTCAGCAGAGGAAGGAATGTGAACAATGGGCACTTTGAGGATGGAGAACTTAGTGAATCATCCCAGGAGGCCACACCCCAATGGCACTGCTCTTGTTTAATGCAGCAAAGGCTGCAACTTATGAGATAAAACACCTTCTTTTCCTTAAAAAATTACCCTTAAGAGAGAGTGCCTACTTTAACAAAATTTACATTTATTGTCCCTCAACTAAAATAAGAGAAAGTTGGGAGCCTGAGAAGACAATTTCATACTTACAAATTTGGGTTTAAGAAGTCTAAGAATGTTCCTATTTTAATTTCAAGAACCTGTCACCTTTGTATTTTCATCCTTTGAGTTTTAGGAATAGGGTGATGGCAGCAGTTTCTACTCTCTTATTTTTTATAAATTCTGTACGCCCCACACTGGGGATCGAGCCCGCAACCCAGGCATATGCCCTGATCGGGAATTGAACCTTGATCTTCTGGTTCATAGGTTGACGCTTAACCACTGATCTATGCCAGCCAGGCTGTTTTGAGAATTTTTATATGAGTTGATTTGAGCCAAACTGACGACATGCTGGGAGCAAGATTTCAAATGCTCCCCCGTAGGTATTGTTGTCATCACTCCTATTTCATTTCCCCAGAAAACACCTGCTCAGAGAGCCCAGAAACTATGCTTGAGAGACAGTTATAACGGACCCTGCACTCAAGTACCTCTTCTCCCTGCAAAGCAGGCCTCTCACCGGCTGCATTTGGGAGCGAGTGAGGAGCTTTAACCCTCTAAGTCACTGTCAGAATGAATATAAGCCACTCTTAATATTTTTGTTTCAGGCCCTGGCTGGTTTGGCTCAGTGGATAGAGCGTCAGCCTGCAGACTGAAGGGTCCCGGGTTTGATTCCAGTCAGGGGCACATGCCCCCCAGCCCCTGTTAGGACACATGTGGGAGGCAACCAATCGATGTGTCTCTCTCACATCGATATTTCTGCCTCTCCCCCTCTCTTCCACTCTCTCTAAAAAAAAAAGTCAATGGAAAAATATCCTCGGGTGAGGATTAACAAAAAATATATATTTATATTATCTAAATATATATATATATTTGTTTGTTGTCTCAGAAAGTAGAACGGTGGTTGCCAGGACTGAGAGAATGGAGGAAAGGAGCGTGGGGAGTTCTGTTTAATGAACACACAGTTGCAGATTAAGATGATGAAAAATGTTCTGGAGATAGATGGTTGCACAACAATGTAAATGTACTTAATGCCATAGGACTGTATATTTAAAAATGGTTAAGTGGCAACATTTATATTACATATATTTTACCACAATAAAAAGTTCATCTTTATCTCTAAGACAGGCAGGCTGCCTCACTGGGGGGCTTGGAACCCCAGGCTTAGCTCCTCAGAAGAATATAAGGGCTCTCCACCACCCTGAAGGCCCCCGGCCCACCTCACCTGTAAGCCGCAATCTCAATATCCAGAGCCATCTTGACATTGAGCAAGTCCTGATACTCGCGGAGCTGGGCTGCCATCTCCCACTTGGTGTTCCTCAGCTCAGCGTCCAGCTGCTGGATAGCGTCCTGAGGGCGACAGGTCACATACCCCTCAAGCGCCAGCCGACACCTGGCCCTCAGCACCAGAGAGGCTGGGCCGGGCCCTGCAACCCAAAGCAGGCCTGTCCCAGCCCACAGCTGGAGCCAACACCCACCCTGGAAAGCAGCGGGGCCTCATTTATGGACTTGGAAACCACGTGGAACAAAAATTCAACTCTGGATATAGCCTCAGCCTGGGGAATGGTCTGGGATGACACACACCAGACTCCAACAATGCATAGTAAGTGCTTTAAAAGTGCCAGTTTTTTTGTTTTGTTTTTTAATTACATTTTTATTGATTTCAGAGAAGAGGGAGAGATAGAAACATCAATGATGGGAGAGAATCATCGATCGACTGCCTCCTGCATGCCCCTCACTGGGGATCGAGCCCGCAACCCAGGTATGTGTCCTGACCGGGAATCGAACCTTGACCTCCTGGTTTACAGTTCAACATTCAACCACTGAGCCAGCTGGCCGGGCAAAAGTGCCGTTTTCTTAAGCCAGTTGTCTTCAATAAGGAATCTGCCAAGGCCTTCCCCGGGTTACCCACACTCACAGACATTGGTTATTATTCACCAAATGCCCTTTTTGTGACCAAACCCTGCTAAGAACATTCACACTCATCTCTTAAAAAGGTTGTCTATCTCTTTCATCTTCAGAGCTCTGCAAAGTCAGCGTTCTTTTTTGTTGTTAATTCTCACCTGAGGTTATTTTTCCATTGATTTTTAGAGAGAGTGGGAGGGAGGGGAAAGACAAAGAGAAATATTGATGTGAGAGACACATGGATTGGTTGCCTCCCGCACGTGCCCCAACTGGGGATCAAGCCTGCAACCAAGGTACATGTCCTTGACTGGAATCGAACCCGGGACCCTTCAGTCCATGGACCGCCGCTCTATCCATTGAGCAAAACCGGCCAGAGCAAAGTAGGCATTCTTGCCCTGGCCGGTGTGGCTCAGTTGGTTGGGCATTGTCTTGTGCACTAAAAGGTTGCCAGTTTGACTCCAGGTCAGGGCACATGCCCAGGTTGTGGGCTTGATCTCAGTAGGGGGCATGTAGCCTATTGATGTCTCTCTCTGTAGGCATTCTTTCCCCGCCCCCTTTTTCATTGAAGGAATTCAGAGTTGGAGAGGCAGATAAACTTCTGGAGTCACATACCTAGAAAGACATACTAATATATCTGGTATGTCTAACTCCAAGGCCCATGGTCTCGATCACTACAACCCTGCTGAGAGGACAGTGATTTATCCAAGGTCAAGGTCACCCAGCCCAGTGAGACAGTCTGGCTCTCTACCCCAACCCTGCCCACCTGGTAGGAGGCGATGTCGGTTTGATGACGGTCCTCCAGCTCAGAGCGCTGCCTCTCCAGCGAGTCCTTGGTGCTTTTGAGTGCCTCCAGCTCTGTGGTCCTGGACTGCAACTGGCGCCGGTACTCACTTATCTCCTCCTGTGCTGAGCGCATGGCATCTGTGTTCACCTTGGCTGCCTCTGACAGTCGGTCTAGCCTCACTGGGGGAGAAGGAGACAGCACAGAGTTAGACACACCTGGATGCGTGTCCCAGTGCCCAGCTCCAGAAGGTGACACGCATCAGTTGAGGACCTACTGGGTGCTGAGTGCCATCCTGGGTGCTTAACTCATCCTATCTTACATGACAGGCAAATGACTACTGCCCAAGGCTACCCAGCTAGTGAGTGGCAGCGGGGATGCAAATCTAGTGTCTATATGGCTCCAAAGATTAGTCTGTCTCCTCGACTCAGGATCCAGAAACCCTACAGGGCAGAGGAAACCCCCATTTCTGGTCCTAATGCCTGGTTCAGTCCCCAGCAGGGGCTGGCAGTGCTGGGGTTCAGATGTGAAACCTGGCTTAACTCTGAACTTGTGGCTCAGAGTTTAACTCTGAACTTCTGGCTGAATGAGCTCGTGAGCCTTTGACCTTTGAAGACATGAGGGTGCTGTGAGCCACCGTGTAGGCACAGCCCCTTCCTTGCAGGTTTCTGCTGTGCAGCGAGCCCAAGGTCACCGCAGAGCCCGGGGCCTGGGTACCAGCTCCTCTGCCCCTTCCCTCCACCTGGCTGCACATTGCGGCACTGGAGCCCCTGAGCCAGAGGCAGCCACGCCGGCCCCTGCAAGCCAAGGGCTGCTGGTTCCCAGGCCTTCCAGGGCTGGTGGAGGTCTAGAGACTAATCTACATCTCCTGAAAATGAACATCCTGAATCTTGAGATAGTGACACCCAGGGCCTGAGTTGGGAGTGTGGGAGGACCAAGGGAAGCCAGCTGGATGGGCCAGAAGCCTGGGCTGGTTTGCTGGTATGAGGGCAAAGCCGGAGAGAACAGAGGGGTTTGCTCTGGGAGGAGCCTTGCTGCAGAGAAGTGGAAAAAAAAAACAGAAACAAAAACGGGAAAAGCCTGCATCCAAATCCCAGCTCTCCTGGCTTTCCCTATAATGCCGGCAAAGATTTAGAAACCATTCTGACGGGTGAGGGTTCTTACCCACTGTGGATCACAGACCCATTTGGGAATCACTGAAACCCCTGCATCCTCTCCCAAGAACAACGCATAAAGTTTTACATTTTGGGGGGGAGAGGGGGAGCGGTGGATCATGGAGCTTCCCAGAGTAAGAAGTCCAGGTGGTCCACCCCCATCTTTCCACTCAAATAAATAGAAATGAAAACCAGAGAAAGCAGCATTGGTCAAGGTCACCCTGCAGCTGCTGGAAACAGCTTCAGAGCGGCTGCAGCTGCAATCCTGCTGACTCAGGGCAGCTTGGAGTTGGGGGAGGGCTACGGATTTGGATGTGGGAGGCTCCCAGTTTCCCAGGCGAGGGGAGGGGACATTATAGGTCTCAGGTGCCAGTGGTTTGTAGTGATGGTCCCCCCTGGGGAGAAAGGATGTGAGAATGCCCCACTTCTCCGAAAATTAGTGGGGAGGAGCCTGGTAGGGATCAGAAGAATGGAGTCCGTCCCCTGCAGTGTCCAGAAAAGGGGGGTGGGCAACGCGGCAGGGACGGCAAGTTACTTTGAGGGCAAAGAGTCCCCAGCGCTTGTGACTAGACGCCAGCATTGCTTCGGAGCTATAGAGGGGACCTAATGTAAAGGGGCCTCGGAGTGAAGTTACCTAACTACAGGGGGCGAGGGGGAGACCAGGAGGGCCCCAGAGTTAAAGGGCAAGCACAAGGCCCCTGGAGGAGGGCAGCCAAAGGTGAAGAAGCCATACTTGACGGGGGTTGGAGACATCCCACATGAGACCCAGGGGGAAACTGTTCTTTAACTAAGGGTTATGAACTTTGCACGGGGCAGCTGACAGTGGACTCTCTCCAGCCACCTCCACGCAGAGTCCACCAGCGTCCCCCGGTATCACGCCACCCCGCCCCTCGCCGCGGCGGGACCAGCAGGGGGCGCCCCTTCCTCCCCAACCCCCACCCCCACCCCCACCCCCGCGCGCGCTGGCGCACCTCGGAACCACTCCTCGGACTGCAACGTGCTTTGCACCGTGTGGCCTTCGAGCTGAGCGCGAATCTCGCGCAGCGCGGACGTCACGTCGCACTTGAGGGCGTCGCGCGCGTCGGCCTGGGCCTGGGCCTGCGCCGCGCCGCAGCCCTGGAGCTGGCTGAGCAGCTCGGCCACCTCCTCCTGGTGGTGGCGCCGCAGGTAGCCGCACTCCTCCTGCAGGGACTGCACCTTCTTCTGCAGCTCGGCGCGCGCCGCCTCGGCCTCCTGCGCAAAGCGGGCGAGCGCGCGCGCCGCCGCCTCGGCCTCCTCCCGCTGCCGCGCCTCGTCGTCCAGGCGCTGGCGCACGTGCGCGATGTCCTCCAGCAGGTGCTCCTGCTCCAGGCGCAGCTGGCCGCGCGCCGCGCCCAGGCGCAGCACGACGCCGCGCATCTCCCGCACCTCGCGCTCGTACAGCTCGCCCATGGCCGCGCGGCCCGCCTGCTGCTGCCGCAGCGCCGCCGCCTCGCCCTCCAGGCTGCGGTTGTGCGCCTCCAGCTGCCGCACCTTGTCGATGTAGCCGGCGAAGCGGTCGTTCAGCACCTGCAGCTGCTCCTTCTCGCTGCGCGCCGCCACCGCCATCACGCCGCCCTCCGGCCCGTTGCTCAGCGTGTCCAGCGAGTCGGTGCTCGAGGCGACGGCCGCGCCGCCGCGGAAACGGCTCGGCGAGGCCGACACGGAGCTCACGGACGTCCGCGCCCACGAGTGGAAACCGCTCGACGAGCCGGCGGCCGAGCGCGCGCCGCCCGCGCCGCCCTTCCGAGCCAGCGCGTAGTGCAGGCTGCTGCCTCCGTGCAGCGACGCGAACGGGGCGCCCAGCAGCGCGTCGGCGCCGCCGAAGCTCATCATGGCTGGAGCAGGTCCGGGAGTGGAGCTGGTGGAGCGGGCGCCTGGCGCTGGGACGGGGCGGGTGGCACTGCGGCAGCTCCGGGACGGCGGCCCTTTTATAGCAGCGGGGCCGAGTCCAGCCCCCGGCAGTTGGGGGGGGGGGGCGTGCGGGGGAGGAGGGCCCCGCCCGCCTCCTCCCCTGCTGCCCCGGGGCTGGCCGGCTCCGCCGCAGTGAGAGGGGCGGGGCAGGGGGACCGGGGAGTGAAGGGGAATCCGCGAGGAGTCGGAAGAGCCCCCCGCCTCGAGGGCAGGTCCGGGGGTAGAGGATTCCCAGAGTGGGCCGGCGGGGACCCCCGGGTGCGCATCGGAAGACCCTGCTACTGTTTTCAGAATAAGAAAAGGGGCTGAAACGCGGAGAGGACGAGGAGAGCTGCTGGGAGTAGGGGCAGGGCGCCTTAGGGATGGAACACTGGGTAGTCAGTAGGATGAGGGGGTTGCTGCATGAGACCGGGGCACAAGGTGTTCCTAATAGTTAGAGAGGCCTCGGGGGAAGGGGTGCAGAGTGTCTGCAGCCGCCGGGGAACAGGGGAGGGAGCGAGGCAATCTTGAATGGAGGCAGGGCGGACGCTGCGGAGGCTAGAAATCGAGGACCTCTGCGTGGAGTGTCAGTGTCCCCGGAGTAGCTAAGGGGCACTGGGACAGGGCTCAAGAAGCTCGGCAGCCCCTCCAGAAGAGGGGAGGGAGCCTGGAGTTGAGGGGGGCAACGAGAGTGGAGCCCAGAGGAGGGGGCCCAGTGGTCTCAGCAGGACAGAAGGTGAGCTGGCCCCAGTGAGAAGGACCCTCCGTGAAGGGGGCAGAGGGTCTCCTGCATAGACCGGGGGAACCTGGGCTGCGTGTGAGGGTCCGGAAACCCAGAGTGGGGGTGCTGCTGGGGACGGGGCGTGCATATGGGAGAGCTGGTGCCTGTATAGGGGGGTGCTGGAGGGAGGGGGAGAGTGACCCGTGAGCGAGTGGTCACTCGGCCAGGCTCTTCCCACTGAGGTCGCTCCAGTTTGCTGGCCACATGACCTTGGACAAGTTGTATCTGTCCGCCCCGCCCCCACCACCCACCTCAGGCTGCAACTTCAGACCCCTAGCTCCCCAGGCAGCTTCAGCTTGGGGGGGCGGGGAGGGGGTGAGCTCTGGCTGGATCAGGGGAGGGGAACCCGTGTGCCGCCTCCCCACCGCTGCTTTCCCAAAACTAGGAAGTCAGCAAGTCCATCTTCCTAGTCTCCCCCTTTCCATCTCCTCACCTTCCACTCAGCATCTCTCCCCACCACCACCCCCACAACAGATAAGTGGGTGCCCCGTAGGCACCCCTTCTCACCCCCAGGGAAGTGGTGGGATGCTGTTAGATACCAAAGCCCCTCACCCCCATAAGCCCTATCGGAGGGTCAGGTGTAAAAAGGGGTCCTTGAGCTGCGGGGGGCGGGGGCGAGGAGGGTGCCTGGAACTGCCGTGTCATTTAACTTTTTCTCCTTTGGGCTCATTTCCAAAGCCTTGCGAGTGCCAGCAGCACTGCAGATGGTGCTTCAGCACCGGGGACAGCGTCCGCTCCTTGTCCGGGAGGAAAGGGTTAACCTCTCCGCCTCGGCTTTGGGGGGAGGGAGGGGAAGGAGGTGTGCAGATCCCCTTTGCCCGACCTTTGGGCCTGTGCGGATGGGGACCTGGGAAGGAGAGGGTGAACGAATGGCCTGGCAGGGTCTCAAAGGGAGCCCAGGACCCGGCCCCTCGACTTTCTGGTAGGCGCCCGGTCCCCTGTTTTCTGTTAAGTCCTCTTACACACACACACCTGGGCTGTCCGCCTCCTCCACTGGGAGCCGATGCTGGGAAGGGGTCCCCTAGAGTCCGGGTAGACTTCACTCTCAGACCTGAGCCTCCCGTAGCCAGTTATCTCCACCCCCACTACCTTTCCAGTATGCGCTGGCCTTCCTTCTGCGGGGGCCCCCAAGATGGGGACAGACGGACCCCTCAGAAAAGTCCTCTGCCAGTTCTCTTCTCGGTGCCTTCCGCCTTATTCCCGCCCCTCCCGCCCCCCGCCCCCTCCCGAGCAGACCCTGAGCAATGCGGAAGGAAGCGATGGCGCTGTCCCTTTAACCGCGTTTTACTGGAAGGAGAGTGCGCTGGGGAGGAGGCAGGAGGGGGCAGGGAGTTTCTGGGTTTGCGTGGAGAAGCAGAACATGATGAAGCATTCCCCCCCCCCCCCCCCCCCGTTTACAGATCCAGCCTAGCTCCGGTTTGCCGGGGGCAGAGGGGCTGGTGTGCAGGTGGTGCTGGGAGGATGGAGGTGAGAAGGGCACTTTGTATGTGTGTGGGGGGGCGGGGGGGGGGGGGGAAGCGGGTTACACAGGGTCCCCTTGCTGTCACGTGGCTCCCCATTTACTTGTCTTTCTGCTTGTAACTTTACCACTAGAGCCTTGTTCCACTGGGTCATTTCAGTGGTCTGCATAATACAGAGACATCCTCTGGGTGTGGGAGGGCTGCAGGCAGCTGACAGCAAAGGGGAGTGTTAGGAGGGGCCTGGTGAAAGAGAGGAGGGGGCCGAGATGGGTTCTGTCAAGGCCAGGGACCCTAACCGGTGTGGCTCAGTGGATAGAGCGCCGGCCTGCAGACTGAAGGGTCCCAGGTTCGATTCTGGTCAAGGGCATGTACCTTGGTTGCAGGCACATCCCCAGTAGGAGGTGTGCAGGAGGCAGCTGATCGATGTTTCTCTCTCATCGATGTTTCTAACTCTCTATCCTCTCCCTTCCTCTCTAAAAAAATCAAAATATATTTTTTTAAAAAAAGGCCAGGGGGCCACAACCTATGGGATAGCAGCTGCCCGTGGAGTCCAAGCAAGAAGTCCCAAGCGTGATGTGGCTGGAAAAAAATGGCATGAAGGTGAGAGCTCTCAGGCCACGCCCCCAAAGAGCCCTGCCGGCTCCCCTCCAGGATGCCTTTTCCGGCCTCCTTTACTCCCCCATTTAGTGAGTTCCTCCCTCTCTGGTCCCAATGGCTAATCCACCCCATCACACTTACCACTCTGTGTTGTCATTTGGGTGAATAAATTCCATCAGTTCTCCTGCCAAACGTGTGGTCTAGAGGGGAGTGAAAATGATTCTGCCCTGATTCCTGAGGCTTCGAATACTTTCATCTTCCTCCCTCCAATTCTTACCATTTGGAAGCGAGTAGAACCACAGATTCATTCATATCCATCGCGAGTTTCCTGAGCATGTGCTATGTGATAGTAAATAGAAGTTACAGAACTCTGTAAACCTCGAAATGTTTATCCCTGGGACCAGAATTCTCAAGGCCTTCCCAAATTCCAGCCCAGCATTTCCCACAGGGCACCTACTTCCAGATGATAAGTGTTCATCCAAAAAGGAGAGAGAAAGAGGGAGTTTCATGGCTAACTAGGGCCCTTGGCATCTGGATGAGGCGATGAACATTGGGGACCTACCAGAGGTGAGTCAAGTGTGCCGGGTTCCCCAAACTTGTTTGACCACAGGCTCTTCTTCTTTTTTTTTAATTTCAGAGAGGAAGGGAGAGGGAGAGAGAGATAGAAACATCAATGACGAGAGAGAATCCTCAAGCAGCTGCCTCCGGGGATCAAGCCTGCAACCTGGGCATATGCCTTGACTCAGAATCGAACCGGTGACGTTGAACCGGTGACCTCTTGGTTCCTGGGTCCACGCTCAATTGCTGAGCAACACCTGGCCTGGTCTGAAGGCTCTTCTTGCCCCTAAGAGTCTCCTACAGTGGCCCACACTGCAGGACCCACTCAGAATGGAGCCTCACTCCTGCTGTCCCTGGGCTGCCATCTGGGCTCCTATAGACCCCAAGGTGAGGGCTCCTCAGCGACGGGCCTGCAGGGTGAAGCTCTCTGTGAACACCAGCCAAGCACTGCTGTTTGCTGTACTTCATTCATTCCGCATTGATGGGATTAGACCCTGTGGTGAGCTCTGCGGTCTCTGAAGAATGAGACCCCAATGAGGGAGAATCCCTCCCATCTGTACAGCCACCACTTTCTCCTTGGTACCTCTTCAAACCTGGTTCACTAAGTGGTAAGGATTCATTGTCCCTATTTTATTGATGAGTAAACTGAGGCCAGAGTGAGGATGTACGTTGCCTGAGTGGACCCAGTGGCCGTATCTCAAATCACCCAGGCCTGAGCTTGTGTTAGATACACAGGGTGGAAATCCATTTCTCTGACACAGTGGAGGCCTAGATGAGGTAAGGGTGGGGAAATGAGAGATCCCCAGAGAGGGAATAGACAGCTAGCTGGGGTTGAGGTCCGGCCTCTGACAGTGGCCCAGCAGAGAGTCCCTGTGACCTGTGACCCAGTGTCAGCACATTCTTTATGTGGGGGGCTCACTTCCCAGCCTGGCATCCTATACCTGACTGCTTACATATGTGGTGTCTGTATGACCTCTCTAGGAAACAGCATGTGACCACTGTTTTGGGGTGCATTTGCTAAAGTCGTTCTTTTCTTGGCTTTATTTTTCTCAACAAAACTTGACCTTTTCTAACATGGGAAATTCTATCTTACCTTGTCTCCTCCTATAGAACGCAAACTTCATAAGGGTAGGGATTCTTGTCTGTTTTATTCACTGCTGACTTACCCAGTCCTTGGAACAATGGCTGGCATACAGTAAGTGCTTAAGAAGGACTGTGCCGCCCTGCTGGAGACACGGAAGGACACAAGGACATTTCAGCACCAGGCACCTGGACAGTTCCCGCCTGCTGCGCCTTGGTAGGGAGGCCCCCTAAGGATGACTGCTAAAGGTGGGCTTGAAAGTGTGGCCCAAGCACTGGCCAGATAGCTCAGTTGGTTAGAGCATCATCCCGATACACCAAAGCTGTGGGTTCAATCCCCGGTCAGGGCACATACAAGAATTAACCAATCGCCCTAGCTGGTTTGCTCAGTGGATAGAGAGTCAGCCTGCAGACTGAAGGGTTCAGGGTTCCATTCCAGTTAAGGGCATATGCCTGAGTTGTGTGCTCAGTCTCCAATAGGGGGCATGCAGGAGGCAGCCGGTCAGTGATTCTCTCTCATCATTGATGTTTCTC